AAATAAAAATAAAAATAAAAATAAAAATAAATTTTATTTATATCCTGCCCTCCCCAGCCGAAGCCGGGCTCAGGGCGGCTAACAACACTAAAATAGTGCAACATTATAAAAACATTATAAAATTAATTAAAACCAACATTATAAAAATTAATTAAAATCAAAATTGATGGCAACCATAAACTAAAGTTTTGTAAAGATTGCCAAAGGAGGGAGTCAGGCTGCGCCCTGACCAAAGGCCTGGTGGAACAGCTCTGTCTTGCAGGCCCTGCGGAAAGATGTCAAGTCCTGCAGGGCCCTTGTCTCTTGTGACAGACCGTTCCACCAGGTTGGAGCCACAGCCGAAAAAGCCCTGGCTCTAGTTGAGGCCAGCCTAACCTCTCTGTGGCCTGGGACCTTCAAGATGTTTTTATTTGAAGACCGTAAGTTCCTCTGTGGGGCAGGAGAGGCGGTCCCGTAGGTACAAGGGTCCTAGACCCAGGTAGGTGGCCTTCAGTGTCTCTTTCCGTGCAATCGCAACTTTTGCATCCCCATTGCGAGAGTTGTGTGGTCTCCTTCCTCCGACATGTTGCTTTCCTTTCCACGTCATCCTGCATTTGCAGAGGGTTGGACTAGATGACCCCTTGGCCTCTTTCCAACCCAACAATTCTGTGATCCAGTGATCCTGCTACATTTCCCTCATTTAGCGCCCGTGCGGAGACCTCCATGGCTGTCTCTTTTGGCAAAGTGCTAGGGGTCTCTCTTTCCTCAGCCATCCCACTGTAGGGGGATTAATTAGGAAGTGGCCCCTTAGCTATACAGTGGTACCTCGGGTTACATATGCTTCAGGTTACATACGCTTCAGGTTACTGACTCCACTAACCCAGAAACAGTGCTTCAGGTTAAGAACTTTGCTTCAGGATAAGAACAGAAATTGTGCTCTGGCGGCACGGTGGCAGCAGGAGGCCCCATTAGTTAAAGTGGTGCTTCAGGTTAAGAACAGTTTCAGGTTCAGAACGGACCTCCGGAACGAATTAAGTACTGAACCCGAGGTACCACTGTATATACGGGACGTGGGTGGCGCTGTGGGTTAAACCGCAGAGCCTAGGATTTGCCGATCAGAAGGTCGGCGGTTCAAATCCCCACAACGGGGTGAGCTCCCGTTGCTCGGTCCCTGCTCCTGCCAACCTAGGAGTTCGAAAGCATGTCAAAGTGCAAGTAGATAAATAGGTACCACTCTGGCAGGAAGGTAAACGGCATTTCCGTGCGCTGCTCTGGTTCGCCAGAAGCGGCTTAGTCATGCTGGCCACATGACCCGGAAACTGTACACCGGCTCCCTCGGCCAATAAAGCGAGATGAGCGCCGCAACCCCAGAGTCGGTCACGACTGGACCTAATGGTCAGGGGTCCCTTTACCTTTACCACTGTATATATTTTTTGGGGGGTGGAAAACTCCCCATAATACACCAGCAATAATAAGAAGAATTAATATGGTGGAATTTCCCTGGGGAGTTTCCCCTGGGCCTGTCTTCTGTCATTGCAAAACCAGAGCAAAGCTTCAAGGGACAAGAGGCGTTTCGCTCATTAACGAAGAGGCTTCCTGGGTCTTTTGCCAGGAAAGTGACATAAAGCCGCTTCCCAGTTCTTAGAAAGCTGTAAATGGAAGAAGGCCTTTTATCATGGCTGGTTTATTGTTTGCCGCTCTCTCCCCGTCCCTGTCTTCTTCTGTTTGGTGTCTGCCGAGTGAAAAGGGGCTGCGCACTCTATGGGAGGGTGGTTTGAATGACACGGCACCCGGGGGGAAATGGTGGCAAAAGCTTAATTGCAATAACGTTAAACGAAGATCCGTCCCGCTTCCAGCATGAGGCTGCGGAGAATGGAGTCGGGCACCATCTAGCGGGGTGTGCGCGCACTCTTTTGGTCAAGGCTTTTCAGTAAAGCTCTCCAGGCATAGGAGAACTGTTTTGTTCTGGGTCAAGCCATTACTGGCGACTGGGAGCGGCCGCCGAGACCACATAACACTGGTCTTGAAAGACCTACATTGGCTCCCAGTACGTTTCCGAGCACAATTCAAAGTGTTGGTGGTGACCTCTAAAGCCCTAAACGGCCTCGGTCCAGTATACCTGAAGGAGCGTCTCCACCCCCATCGTTCTGCCCGGACGCTGAGGTCCAGTGCTGAGGGCCTTCTGGCGGTTCCCTCACTGCGAGAAGCAAAGCTACAGGGAACCAGGCAGAGGGCCTTCTCAGTGGTGGCACCCGCCCTGTGGAATGCCCTCCCATCAGATGTCAAGGCAATAAACAACTACCTGACATTCAGAAGACATCTTAAGGCAGCCCTGTTCAGGGAAGTTTTTAATGAGTGATATTTTAGTGTATTTTTGGTCTCTGTGGAAGCTTCCCAGAGTGGCTGGGGAAACCCCGCCAGATGGGTGGGGTACAAATAATAAATTATTATTATTATTATTATTATTATTATTATTCCAACTAGCTCAGACAAGGGCTATGAGGCACTATGGCTTTGCTTTGTCTCCACAGCTGGAGACAGCGACGCTTCTGAAAATCAGTTGCTGGGAACCACAGGAGGGGTGAGTTCCTCTAGTGCAGGGGTCTGCACACTTACCGCGCCTCGGGCCGGTGTCTCCAGTGCGAATTGCACAGCGGGCCGGAGGGCAGGGGAGTGCGTGCCCATACGCATGCGCACACCCTATTTCCGGCGCACTTCCGGGTCGGAGGAGCACTGGAAATAGCTTGTGCGCATGTGCACGGGCCTCCTCTGACCCAGATATGACCGGAAATAACGCGCAAGCTTTTCTGATGCTGCTCTGACCCAGAAGTGGGCAGCCGCGCAGTGCAGTGCTGGTAAGAGTGGCGGGCGGCAGCAGGCGGCAGGGCTTGCCGCAGGCCGGATAAATGAGTCCCTCGGGTCTTATCCGGCCCGCGGACCTTAGTTTGGGGACCCCTGTGCTCAGATCCTGCTTGCTGGTTTCCCACAGGCAACTGCTCAGCCACTGTGAGGACAGGATGCTGAACTAGATAGGCTATCCATCGCTCTGCCCAGACTCTGAGGTCCAGCTCTGAGGGCCTTCTCGGTGGTGGCGCCCCCCCTGTGGAACGCCCTCCCACCAGATGTCAAAGAGAACAACAACTACCAAACCTTTAGAAGACATCTAAAGGCAGCCCTGTTTAGGGAAGCTTTTAATGTTTAATAGGTTTTTATATTTTAGTGTTTTGTTGGAAGCCGCCCAGAGTGGCAGGGGGGGACCCAGCCAGATGGGCGGGGTATAAATAATATATTATTATTATTATTATTATTATTATTATTGGTGGAGCTAGCTGTTCCGGCCCCTGCTGTGCACCCGGGGGCAGCTAGCCGCCACTGGGGCCAGGCTAGCTGCCCACAGGGGCACCGCCCGTGGCAAGCAGTGATCATCCTGTCTTTAGCCTGGAGAAGAGGAGGCTAAGGGGTGATATGATAGCCATGTTCAAATATATAAAAGGATGTCACATAGAGGAGGGAGAAAGGTTGTTTTCTGCTGCTCCAGAGAAGCGGACACGGAGCAATGGATCCAAACTACAAGAAAGAAGATTCCACCTAAACATTAGGAAGAGCTTCCTGACAGTAAGAGCTGTTTGACAGTGGAATTTGCTGCCAAGGAGTGTGGTGGAGTCTCCTTCTTTGGAGGTCTTTAAGCAGAGGCTTGACAACCATATGTCAGGAGTGCTCTGATGGTGTTTCCTGCTTGGCAGGGGGTTGGACTCGATGGCCCTTGTGGTCTCTTCCAACTCTATGATTCTATGATTCTATGATCCCAGGGGGTGCCACCTGCGGCGAGCGTCCCGGGGGGGCAGTGTGGCCATGTCACATACCCACACACACCCCAGGGATGACACCCGAGGTGGACCGCACGCACCGCACCCCCCTTCCTCTGCCAGTGGCTATTAGGCTGATCCAGAAGGCTCATCTTATGTTTTTAATGTGATGTTTTGCTAAGTGCCCCCTGGGTTTTATTTGTGGCAGGGGGTGGGGGTTGTATCCTAGTGCTGGTTTTGACCTGTAAAGTCTTAAATGACAGAGTGGTGCAGAGCTAACAACTTGCTCATAAATACAAGGAAGACAAAGGAGCTTGTGGTGGACTTCAGGAGACAGAAGAGCAACGTCCAGCCACTTTTGATTGATGGGGTCTGTGTGGAGAGGGTAACAACGTTCAGATTTTGGGGCATTGAATTACAAGAGGATCTGTCCTGGAGTGTCAACACACGGGGGCTTGTGAAGAAGGCGCAGCAGAGACTGTACTTTTTGAGAATACTAAGGAAAAACCATCTTCCGCAGAAACTGCTGCTTGCCTTCTATCACTGTGCCATTGAGAGCGTGCTCACTTATGGCTTATGTGTGTGTGGTACGGAAGCTGTACTACCCAGGACAGGATGGGGTTGTGCAGGGTTGTTAAGGCAGCAGAGAGCATTGTTGGCTGCCCACTCTCCACCTTAGAGCAGATTTATGTCACAAGGTGCCATAGGAAGGCACTGGACATAGTAAAAGATCCATCGCATCCTGGTCACTGTCTCTTCGAGCTCTTGCCGTCGGGACGGAGATACAGGACGATGAAGACAAGAACGAGCCGTCTTAAGAACAGCTTCTTCTCCAGAGCGATCTCGGCCCTGAATGGGAAGCCCGGACTTTGAAAGTCATCTAATCTCCCTTGCTGTATTATACTGTATTGATTAATTAGAGTTTTTATGGAGCAGTCAAGTAATTTCGTTGTCCCCGAAGGGGGCAATGACAATAAAGATATTATTATTATTATTATTATTATTATTATTATTATTATTAAATGACTCAGGACCAAAAAAAAGGTAAGAGTATTGGGAAAAAATCCACAATGATTTGAAAAAAATGTTTTATTTTTATTTTTTATTTTTTTTAATCACAAATATTTTATTATTAAAATAATTCAACATTAATACATACATATTACAAATATACAAACATACATTTCATACAGTCCTTAAAAATACTCATACATACCCACACTTAATCCCACAGATACTTCCTTTTTCCACCACCATGCCTCACTTTTAAAGTACTTCTCCAAAAAAAAAAACCCACAAAAAAACCAGAGTCCTTTTTGTTGGGGATAATGCAGACTGAAATTCCCAGGTGTCACAAAAAGTTATTTATGTATGCTACTATTGCGGCCCATGTTTTGTTAGCCCCAAAATGGAAAACGAGCGAGGTCCCAACTAAAGAAGAATGGCAACTTAAGTTGACAGAATATGCGCAGCCTGCAGACTTGACATATGGAATAAGAGAGCGGGAAGAACATTTAGAGAAGATTGGAAAATGTTTATTGACTATATGGAGGGAAATTGTGCACACCTGATAACTTTGGCAGCATTAAGATAAATTCAACAGTGTAAATAAGTTTAGATCGATGTAATAATTGAATACTGAACGGTTTCGTTTTTGTAAAATATGCAGGGATTCATGCTATGTAAAATGAACCATGGAAAGAGAAGAATGGAAGTCACTGATATTATAAGGATGTTAAAATGAGTATTTTAAATTGCTAAACAGAAAATTTAATTTTAAAATTATTTTAAAAAGAAAAAATGACTCAGGACCACAATACCACAAGGACTCCCTTTCCCCTTACTAACCTACCTGGACTCTGTGTTCACCATCGGAGACCCTTCTTTGTGTGCCTCCTCCATGAGAGGTCCGGAGGGTGGCAACACAAGAACGGGACCTTTTCTGTAGTGGCTCCCTGTTCATGGAATGCTCTCCCCAGGAAGGCTCACCTGGCGCCTTCGTTATATATCATTAGGCGCCAGGCAAAAACATTCCTCTTCAACCAGACCTTGGGCTGATTAATGTTGTTGTAGACTTAGGATAAGCATAGAAATTAATAAATACCGGGGTTATTTGGGATGGGACGGGAGAAATATAAGAATATTCTGCAGCTTTTAAATGCATTTGTGGAAAGGGGGCGTTATTGTTTCTGTTTTAACTATTAACTTGTGTTTTTACCTTGTGTTTTATCCTGCGAACCGCCCTGAGAGCTTGTGAGAAAGGGTGGTGTAGAAGTCTAATGAATAATAATTATATTAAACAAATTATAATAATAGCCTAGCATGCTTAGGAAAGAAAGGGAGTATTCTTCAATAGTGCAAATGGAAGCTGTATGATTCCACCAACCCCCCAAAAAAGACAAACAGATTTTGGAACATACGATTTGTATTTGAAAAGGGGTCTAATGTCTCACCTGCTGATGAATGCACAAAGCCAGTGGGGTCCCTGTGAAGGTGGAAGAGCCATTACTGCAGATGACCTTGCTTGATAAGCATCTTTGGGAATTAATCTGCTTGCAATTGTCTTCTCTGGGGCACCCCCTGCCCTCCCCCCAACATCTCAGCCCTGGCTCTATATTTCCCTATGGCTCCAGGAAGAAGCAACCTAAGGCAGTAAAAGAGATTAAGATAAGAATGGGTCGTGGTGACAGCAGGACTGGCAGAGCCAGCCTGGGGGAATGAAGATGCAGACTTGCCAACAGAAGGATCGGCCATCCTTTGGGATTTGGGGCTTGGGAATCAAAGCTGACCTCAGAGGCAAGATGGATGGAGAAGAGGATTGTGATTTATGAGTCACAAAGCAGAAGCTGCCGGTGCCTTCTCTGAGCTTTCTTTACAACATGTCTTTTGTGCATTATTTGTGATCTCTCTGATATTTGTGGAGGGTATCGTTTTAAAGCCTTTCTGTTTCCAAAAACTTCGCTCATCTCTTCTCTTGAAAATAACTTAGCACACAATTTTCAGCCCTGGGTTTAAGCACATTATAGCTCAACTGTTTCCAAACAGATTCTTAAAGCAGGTGCCCTTAAAAACTCTTCAGATCACCCTATCTTTTTTTGTTTCTCTTTCGCCTTCCCTCCCTCCCTTGGATGGCCAGAAGGGATGGTTTTTTCACTCCTTTCGGAAAAGTCTTGCAAACTGGGGAATCACATCCACAGCTCAAGTCGATTTTATGCTCCCTGACTTGAGATTATGGTATTGTTAACCATTTCGGTAGCCCAAGCTATTTCCATTGGCAACGCAGGCGCCAAAGACACTTGAAGAGAGAGACTGCAGGCAAGTGTTGTTGGTTTTTCTGTTACCTTGAATTTAATGACGTGCTCTGCATTTTGTATATTTGCATTGTCAATGTTCTCTCTTTGAATGTTTTGAATGTTTGCAGTAAGCTGCTTTGGACACAATTAGTTCTGGGAAAACAGCATATAAGAAAAGCCAGTCAATCAATCAATCAAGTGTTTATACACTAATGCTAGAAGCCTCTGAACCACCTTTACTGGGGTGCTTGGTTTCAGAAGATGGCATTGACTTCAGCTGATGCAGCCTAGAATAGCATTAGCCTTTTTTGCTGCTGCATCACACTGTGCCACCCTGCTCCATCCACCATGACAGAGAAATTATCCCTCCATCGGCAGCAATTTTGGGTGAGATTTTGCCGATTCTGTGTGAGCAGAGGAAGACAGTCAAGATCATGGGTAGGCAAACTAAGGCCTGGGGGCCGGATCCGGCCCAATCGCCTTCTCAATCCAGCCCGCGGATGGTCCAGGAATCAGTGTGTTTCTTCTACATGAGTAGAATGTGCCTTTTTATTTAAAATGCATCTTTGGGTTATTTGTGGGGCATAGGAATTCATTCATTATTTTTTCCAAAATATAGTCCGGCCCCCCACAAGCTGTGAGGGACACTGCTAAAAAAAAGTTTGCTGACCCCTGGTCAAGATGATCAAGGGTCTGGAAACCAAGCCCTATGAGGAACAGTTGAGGGAGCTGGGTATGTTTAACCTGGGGGAAAATAGACTGAGAATAGACTGAAAGGAGATATGATATCCATCTTCCAATATCTCAAGGGCTGTCCCATGGAGGAGGGAGCAAGCTTGTTTTCTCCTGATCTGGAAGGTAGGACTCAAGCCAATGGCTTCAACTGATTCTACAAGTTTTTTTAAATAATTGCAACAGTTCTGACTTTGGATATGGGCTAAGGTGGTGTAGGGCTGGGCAATATCTGGTTTTCAAAACTGTGCTATATCACCAGCTAAATGTCATGATATGAGCCCTAGGACCCACGTACCTATAGGTCCGCCTCTCCCGGTATGCCCCGCGGAGGACCTTAAGGTCCACAAATGACAACATTTTGGAGGTCCCAAGTTGCAAGGAGGTTCGATTGGTCTCAGTTAGGGCCAGGGCCTTTTGAGTACTGGCCCCGACGTGGTGGAACTCTCTGTCACAAGAGACCAGGGTCCTGCAGGACTTGACATCTTTCCGCAGGGCCTGCAAGACAGAGCTGTTCTGCCTGGCCTTTGGTTTGGACTCAGTCTGACCCTTATGTTTCCCTCCCCTTTTGGTTTTGATTTATGGGCTACTTTTTAAATTGCATTTAAACCTGTATTTTAAATTGGTTTTTTCCCCTATTATGTTTTTACTGTAATTTTACTGGTGTTCCCCGGCTCTGGCCGGGGAGGACGGGGTATAAATAAAATTTATTATTATAATATTTATTATTCAAGTTGCAAGAAAGGGGACTAAACATACAGAAAAGCTTTCTGACAGGAAAGGCTGTTCACCAGTCTCCCTCAGGAGGTAGTGGACTCTCCTTTGGAGGTTTTTAAGCAGAGGTTTTTGGATGGCCATCTGTCCTGGATGCTTTAGCTGAGTTTCCTGCATGGCAGAGGGTTGAGCTAGATGACCGCTGGGGGTCCCTTCAAACTCTAAGATGCTATGATTCTAGTAACATTTTTTTTAACAAAGGAGGAAACAAACAGGCTCATGTAGGTATGTATAAACCATTCCAGTTTTTACACCCTGCTGTTGAAGTACATGTTGTGCAAAAGGCTAACCGTCAGTTGTGCTTTATTGATCACATTATTATTTTGCAAGCACATAATGTGATGCTAACAAACATATTTTTAGAAAGCAGATTTTTTAACGAGCGTTTTGCATTTATAAAGCAAGGGTGCCCTCTACTGCTGCAGTCGTGTTTTACTAAAACTTCCTTTTTTCCCCTCACAGTCCTGTACCCACTTACAAGGGAAAAACTAAGATCATGGCCACTGGTCCCATCACCTCCTGGTAAATAGAAAGGGGAGAAATGGAGGCAGTGAGAGATTTTACTTTCTTGGGCTCCATGATCACTGCAGATGGTGACAGCAGCCACGAAATGAAAAGACGCCTGCTTCTTGGGAGAAAGGCAATGACAAACCTAGACAGCATCTTAAAAAGCAGAGACATCACCTTGCCAACAAAGGTCTGTATAGTTAAAGCTATGGTTTTCCCAGTAGTGATGTATGGAAGTGAGAGCTGGACCATCAAGAAGGCTGATCGCCAAAGAATTGATGCTTTTGAATTCTGGTGCTGGGGGAGACTCTGGAGAGTCCCATGGACTGCAAGAAGATCAAATGTGTCCATTCTGAAGGAAATCAGCCCTGAGTGCTCACTGGAAGGACAGATCCTGAAGCTGAGGCTCCAATACTTTGGCCACCTCATGAGTAGAGAAGACTCCCTGGAAAAGACTCTGATGTTGGGAAAGATGGAGGGCACAAAGAGAAGGGGACGACAGAGGACGAGATGGTGGGACAGTGTTCTCGAAGCTACCAGCATGAGTTTGACCAAACTGCGGGAGGCAGTGGAAGACAGGAGTGCCTGGCGTGATCTGGTCCAGGGGGTCACAAAGAGTCGGACACGACTAAATGACTAAAAAACAAGAAGCTCTGTTGAACTCAGGAAAACTTACTTCTGAGTAGGCATGTATAGGGCTGTGTTGTCCATTGACGAAAGGAGGGGGGCACTCCAAGGAATAAATCCCTTATTCATAAAAACGTGGAATTAACACAATGCCTTATTTATATCTTAGATCCCCTGTGCTAGCAAGGGACCTGAAACTGTCTTGTAAAATCATGTGCATTTCACAACAGCAACTGATTCTGCAACTGAATTATGAGAAATCATAGAAAAATATGAAATGATAATGAAGTGTATCTTTTTAATTTTAATGGCATTTTAATGTGATGCTGTGACTACCTTTTTAAAAAAAATTTCACTGATACTAAACGTGAAAAACTGAAATTGTTTCATTGTGGGTTTTAATTATGTGCTGTTATCTTCGTTTTTGGTTGTTTTATACTTGTAAACCGCTTTGAGTTAAGAGCCGGCAGGGGCGGGGTCTTCAAGGCCATTGTCCAATAAGAAGCGTCCTTCCAAGAAGCCCTAGCAAGGCGGGAGCTTTGTTTATTCCCCGCCGGCTGATAGGCCGCCGGCAAAGGGGCGGTAGAAAAAAGGGCCAATCCGCGTTCTCGGCTGCGGCGCGAGCTCTCTCTTTCGAAACCGTTGGCGGCCGGCGGCGGTTTGTTTGTTTTTTCAGCAGAGAGGATGGCGCGAGTCCGCGCAGCTGAGGTGAGGGGAGGCTGTATCCTAGCAACGCAGGAGAGCGGGAGGGGAACTGCCAATCCTGCGCCGTTTTCTAGATTTTGGGCGGGAAAAGGGGGCTTTGCCCCCACCTCGCTCTCCTGTGACGGACTGAGCGCGGGGCGAATGGGATCCCTTTCTTCTCAGCCTCTCCCCGCCTCCCCTTACCAATCTCGTTTTTCCACGCCGTTCGCTTTAAGGGTGCCTCTGAGCACGTGCAGAGTGAATTTACCTCAGCGTTACCCGGCACATTGGAAATTAAGGGGGATAGGGAGGGAAAGGAGACAGAAGGCAAAAATTGTTCAGTGTTAATGCGCCCCTCACAGGCTTGTGGGACCTATATTTATATGTAATAAATAAATAATGTGTGTGTGTATAATATTATTATAAATAAATTATAATATATATATATATATATATATATATACACACACATATATATATGTATATATAATATATATATAATACACACACACACACACACACACACACATATATATAATATAATATATATAATATATATATATATATATAATACACACACACACACACACATATATATATATATATATATAATTTATTTTTTTATTTATTACATTTGTCGGTCGCTTTATATTGTCCAAGGCGACCCAGAGTGATTTGCAAGTAAACAGATAAACAAAAACCCACGTAAGGAACCTAAAAACCAAGTTGGAGATGCATTAAAAGCACCCGATTTATAAGATTGTAACTCCCAAGACCCACAAATTATTGGCGCTTCTAGGAAAGCAGAAACTAAGGAGGTTGCCCAAGGCATGACCTCCAGGAGGATGGTGGCCAAAAACAAAACAAGAACCCTTTGGTAAAGGGATTTATTTCTGCTATAACCATTTCTGCGGGAACTGCTATTACTGTATTATTAATTGTTATTATTGCAGCATTTTCTATTGTGCTCTTGGGTAGAATTCTCCAGGGAGGTTTACATGTAAAAGAGCAAACCCACAAAAAAACAATTAAAGCATTTAATATTAAAGTCAGGGTTGGGGTAGTTATATGAAATACATGATACAGTATGCGGGTGCTCAGTTTTATATATCATTAACACAATCCACTCCATGCCTTCAACACAGATTTATGGCTCGTGCAGGAGGAATAGTCAGGGGAAATACTGAATCCATAATAATAATAATAATAATAAAGCATACAAAGGTGGAAAGTGGGAGACCCAAGAGCTTTATTACTTTCAAGGTGAGGGGAAGTGATCTAGGGAAGGTTGGCAGGATAGCTTATTCCATGGTCTTAACCCCATCATCCATTAATTAGCCTTAAGGGTGAAGCTCAACATCAAAAAAACGAAGGTAATGGCCACTGGGCCCATCACCTCCTGGCAAACAGAAGTGGAAGAAATGGAGGCAGTGAGAGATTTTACTTTCTTCAGCTCCATGATCACTGCAGATGGCGACAGCAGCCATGAAATTAAGAGACGCCTGCTACTTGGGAGAAAAGCAATGACAAACCTAGACAGCATCTTAAAAAGCAGAGACATCACCTTGCCAACAAAGGTCCGTATAGTAAAAGCTCTGGTTTTCCCAGTAGTGATGTATGGAAGTGAGAGCTGGACCATAAAGAAGGCTGATCGCCGGAGAATGGATGCTTTTGAATTCTGGTGCTGGAGGAGACTCTGGAGAGTCCCATGGACTGCAAGAAGATCAAACCTCTCCATTCTGAAGGAAATCAGCCCTGAGTGCTCACTGGAAGGACAGATCCTGAAGCCGAGACTCCTTCATGAGAGTCCACCTCATGAGAAGAGAAGACTCCCTGGAAAAGACCCTGATGTTGGGAAAGATGGAGGGCACAAGGAGAAGGGGACGACAGAGGACGAGGTGGTGGGACAGTGTTCTCGAAGCTACCAGCATGAGTTTGACCAAACTGCGGGAGGCAGTGGAAGACAGGAGTGCCTGGCGTGCTCTGGTCCAGGGGGTCACGAAGAGTCGGAGACAACTAAACGACTAAACAACAACAACAAATGTTGGTTATATGAGGCTGGATATATCCCAGCCCTTCGTGGCCTCGTCTCTCTACTCTTATATCCCCTTTCAGTGCCACCAATTACATTTGGAGGGTGGCCACTTACGCAATGCCAAATAAAAATAGGACAAGGGCACGCGTAACATTTGCACATGGCCATTTAAATGTACAGTTGCAACATCTGAAAGTCGACAGTATAATTAAATGGAGAAACTGTAACCTTTTATCCTAGTGGGGGCAACTTGGGTGAGTGACCCAAGGAACCTGTTTGTTCTGCTGTCCAGCTGTCTGCAACTTCAAGGCACATGGCGATCTTCCTTCTTAGGGTTCTTTATCTTTACCAGGCATGGCCAAACTCGGCCATCCAGATGTTTAGGGACTACAATTCCCATCATCCCTGACCACTGGTCCTGTTAGCTAGGGATGATGGGAGCTGTAGTCCCAAAACAGCTGGATGGCCAAGTTTGGCCATGCCTGCTTTAAACCAAACAGTGCTTCATATATTATTATTAATTAAATTTCTTAATTGCTTTAGCCCAGGGCAACCCAAAGTAACTTACAACCAAGCAGGCAATAAACCCCACATAGATACATTAAAACCGATATAGAGGACAGTTCTCTGTAAAGTAGACCCCATGGCCACCCTAAATCTTTGCTCCATCACCCTCTGATGCCTGGAACTGCCTCACCCACCACCCTGTGATGACACTGTGTCCTTATTTTCAGCTTAAATGCTGGAGGATATGTCACTAGACTAAATGTCACAATAAAGGTAGATATGTAAAAAAAAACCCCACAATTCTGCTCAAGGCATTTAGCTGGACAGGTTGCAATCCTAATTTTAGTGGATGGCAGCCAGTTATCTGTAGCCTTTCATGATACATTTCCTGGCCAGCCAGAATGAACAATAGTCATGAAGCAGCTATACAGGTATCGACAATTTATTAGACGTGTGGGATGGAGAAGTTGATTTGTACCCCGAGGTGTCGTGTGTGCAGTAAGTGGGCTGATGCTGTAAAATCTTGCAATGCAGGCAAACGAGTTCGACTCATCGGACGAAGAACCCTCAGAGGAAGAACAGGTACCCTTTCAAGTATCCTGGTAGGTCCAAATTTCCTCAGGGGACCCCTTCCAGAATTCCTTTGGAGCAGCTTAGTATTCTGGCCACTAGCCACATTTCACAGCTTGCTTAATTTTCTTCATATGGGGTGTTAGGGGAGGGGTAGTTGTGCTCATTCTGGGGCAGTTTGTCCACCTTTAATCCCCTGCACCCTGCACTCGGCTCTTGCCTGTGGCTCCTGGAAACTGGCAGTATGCAACAGCAGCCACACACCAGGAACAGCTTCGACTGGCCGGCTAAACCAGGTGACGGTAGTCGATGGGTCTCAAACCCACAGTGAGTTAGGGACTTCCCCTCCATGCGAAGACAGGCTCTGGCAGATTGAGCGGACGAGACCAGGAGTGGGTTTCTGCACATGCTGCAGAGGGAAGTGAGGGGCAGATGGGGTTCATTATTCTGTGAAAGTAGCCCATATAAGATAAGGAAAACACTGATCCTAATCCTCTGCTGCCTTATGGGATATCTTCGGGAGAAGAAAAGGCTAAGGAGTAAACCCTACACAAACCCAGAATGGAGTCCCCAGGAAACCTTGCACGCCTCCTTCCAGCAACTCCTGCAGCCAAGCTGGTGCCAAACATTTTGCTCCGTTTTCCTTTGGACCACATCAGTGAGTCTGGGGTGTGTGTCTTGTTGTCCATACACACCGCCCAGGCCTGCACCTCAGAGAGGACACTTCGGTACTGCTAATGAATTCACCCCGAGGCACACACCATTGTCTCTTGAGACAGACAGATGCCAACAACAACAAGTTGGGGCGGGTGTGTTATTCTGCTTTAGCTCGTTCTGTGATGCTTCCTCAATTTGTTGTTGGTATTCATCTGTCTCGGGAGACAATGGAGGAGTGCGCCTTTGAGGGTGAAGTCAAATGGTTGGAGAGTTACAGCAACTGCTGTGGCTGTAGAGACTGATGCGGGAGAGACATGTTTTGTTGCAGCTGGGGCAGAGGAAGGCAGCCGGTTGCACTGCTGCAGATGCACCATGGCGTTTCTTCTTGCAGCATTCCTCCCTGCAGTTTATTCCTCCTCTTGTCAACCTGGTTTCCCCAATCCTTCCACATTATTGCAAAACAATACTGGGACAGAGATCAGCTAAAACTTCTGGGATATAAAACATTACAGGATTTCATGTTGTGTGATATGCACTGGCTGTAAATGAAGCAGTGTAACCGTCCCCAGAACTGTTGCAGGCTCAAACAGTGTTGAAAATGGGGTCACATGTAACCATCCTGATAGCATCATGAGCACAAACTATGCATGTGCAATGAAAAGGACATCTAGAGAAGTTGTGAGCTAGATTTGAAACTCCCCTCCTGCCGACGATGTAGCAGACCTGTAGTTGTAAAGAGAGCTTGCTGATTGCAAATTTAAATGCCATTGTAAAGGTTTTTAACTTTCTTTCTTGCTTTCTGTAGGTTAGCCCTATCACCAACCTATTCCCAATTTCTTGGAATTTGCTCACTACCAGGTATGCAATAACAGCTTAAAAACTGATTTAAAAGCTCATTCATTTGATGGGGGGGAAATCTTAACTTACCCCACCCCACATTAATCTGCCTATGTCACTACATGTGAGGTAAAATGAAACATAACTGAATAAGGTGGCCTGTTGGTGGTAAATAGACATAGATGTCTTGTATTTAACAAATACTTGTTATATTTCTAGCAGTACTTGATATGTTCTTTCATGCATCCACACTGCATCATTTTAGGTTGCCGATTCAAAAGTATTAGAAGAAGCCTTCAGAAAGATATAGGTAATTATATATCAGTGCCCTGGGGATCTTTCAGCCTTCCTTCAACGCCTGGTTGCTCCATGTTTACCTTTTCTTATGCCTTGCAACTGGCATAGGATTCTGGGATAAGCACTTTTGGTGTTCTTAATTTTCCTTTTCCCCTTCTTTGTGTAACATCTTTCCTGATAAAAGGTTCCAGAAGAGACATTTCCTCTTCCCTTTCACTTGAGAGAATAGCTCTTAAGATGGCATTTGCCACCTGCAGTTTGTATAACGCTATTGCTTTAAGAATGATTTAAGATTTTTATTTTAAATGAATTGTTTTTACATTTTAATTTTAAAAATTACAATTAAAAAATGATTTAAGAATTTTAAGAATTTAGCGTCTAATTGGGGGACACCTTTTTACTGATCATTTTTTTAAAAATTAGTTAATCAAAAAATTATTAAATGTTGCTGCTCTCCTTGGTACATTTATTTTCCTTGTATCCTGAGCAGAGCACTAATTCCACCCTGGCAGAGTATCAAATTCCAGGGCAGTGCTGCAATTTCAGTTGCTAAAATTAGGCAAGCTTTATTAGGCGAGCAACCGTGGTTTGCCTAATAATCAGGTCATGGAACACACAAATTCCGTGTTGTAAAGTCAATTTGAATTGTTTTCTGAGTTAGGATTCACAAGGCTTTTATGGCTTCGTGTAGCATTTTAACAAGGCGAACAGCTTCGTTCCTTTGCAGATGAACTGAAGAGCTATGGGGTGCAGGATGTCTTTGTCCTCTGTACCAGAGGAGAGCTTGCAAAGTACCGTGTCCCACACCTCCTAGAGGCATATCAGAGCCAAGGGATTGCTGTGCACCATCACCCTATACCTGATGGAGACACTCCAGACATAGCCAAATGCTGCCTGATTCTAAAGGAACTGAGGAGCTGCCTCGAAGGCGACCGGAAAACCTTAATACAGTGAGTTCCAGTGCGCCATGTCTTTTGTCCTCTCTCCACAAGTAAAGATGGTCACAACCTGCATACATCCACCTTAGTTTCCTGCTAACACCAGCTTCTGCCACCCCCTTGAATGTTGCCACCATTCCCGTGTAGGTAGGACAAAATAAAATGCAGATGTGCCGCATCCTAGAGAATCTTCCTAAATCAAGAAAATCCTACAACTGAATGCTTTAGGGCATGAGTAGGCAAACTAAGGCCCGGGGACGGATCCGGCCCAATCGCCTTCTAAATCCGGCCCGTGGATGGTCCAGGAATTAGCGTGTTTTTACATGAGTAGAATGTGTGCTTTCATTTAAAATACATCTCTGGGTTAGTTGTGGGGCATAGGAATTCGTTTTTTAAAAAAATCGTCTGGCCCCCCACAAGGTCTGACGTACAGTGGACTGGCCCCCTGCTGAAAAAGTTTGCTGACCCCTGCTTTAGGGAAAAGTGCAAGAAGAATTCTCAGGGATGATTCACACCCTGGCCAGCACCTCTTTAATCTTCTACCCTCAGGCAGGAGATATAGAAGTATAATCAGTCGTACCAACAGGCTAAAAAACAGTTTCTATCCATGGAGTGTTAGGCTGCTGAACAGAAAATAATATAGTGCAACTGACTTTTGAGGTTGGTGTGTTGTGCGACAAGCACACAGAGTGCAATGAGATTGAGTGGGGGGGGAGAGGCTCAGTTAATTTCATTGTACACAGGTTGTACATTGACAATAAAGGTTTATTATTATTATTATTATTATTATTATCAGTGAGCTTGCGAAGTCAGAATGAGAAGGAAGATGTGTGTCATTCCCAAGATTTGATTTTAGACTTCTAGTAATTATATTTTATCCTGCCTTTGCTCTAAGAAGCTTCTTCTTCTTCTTCTTTGATGAAATCCAGCATCGCCTGAGCTCTGCAAGTGCGGCTTTCTCCCGATTGAAGTGCAGAGTGTAAGAAGCTTAAAGGCAGCATTCAAAAGATTTCCAGCATTCTCCCATGCAGCACCCAGATTCGCTTAGCTTAAAAAAATGGTGCCACAGAGAAGCTTCTGTCCTATGCAACAATAAGAGTTCATTATAAGAAAACTGGAGAGTCCTTATACAGTCATCGTAGGCTAGGACTGGGTTTTTGAAGGGGAGCTCAAGAAACATAGAGCTACACGGAGCCCTGAACAAGCCTACGTCAGGGCAGCTTTCCCCAACCTGACACTGATGAAAGTCAAATGCCCAAACATCTGAACTGTACCAGGTTTGGGGTGGCTGTGTTAAGGATATTGCCTCTCAATATCAGATTGGAAACCTTTTTCTGGAACAAGACAGAGCTGGTTCGTTGTGACTCTTGATACTATCACAATGTACAGTGGTACCTCGGGTTAAGTACTTAAATCGTTCCGGAGGTCCGTTCTTAACCTGAAACTGTTCTTAACCTGAAGCACCACTTTAGCTAATGGGGCCTCCTGCTGCCGCCCCATGATTTCTGTTCTCATCCTGAAGCAAAGTTCTTAACCTGAAGCACTATTTCTGGGTTAGCGGAGTCTGTAACCTGAAGCGTATGTAACCTGAAGCGTATGTAACCCAAGGTACCACTGTACGTGTTCTGTTTTTGAAAAAAAAATGCCCAATCCTTTTTTCCCCACTTTCAGCTGCTATGGAGGGCTTGGAAGATCCTGTCTCAGTAAGTAAATACTTTTTCTAAAAGCATTAATTAGTTTAATATTGGCATTTTCCTGCATAAATCCATCGGATCGTGAAACTATGTCCTCTAGTATGTTACACAATTTTCTCCACCAGTAGTCTCAGACTCATCTTTGCAGATGTAAAAGGTGGAAGCTCTTTCACAGCTGAGTTGGAGGAATACTCCTTGCCTTCTACTTCCTAGGTATAACAACAGCAACAACTCTGGAAGAAGAGCATCACTGGCAGAGCGCAATTTCCCCCCCGCAAGTTGCGAGAACTATTAATCTTTTATTTTTATTACTGAGGTGCCCATGAAATGCCAAGATGGGCAATAAAAAGAGGAAGGTGGAACTGCCTTGCAAGACCTGTGTCATGGTGAACAGTATGAGATTGGAGCTAGAAGTCCTTGCTTTAAAGCTCAAAGATTGTTGTGGCACCTGAAATACTCACAGATGTATTATAGCAGAAGCTTTCATGACCAGTTATTCTCAGCTCGCAGGTTATATACCCTTTGGTGACAAAGGTCATGAAATGCAGAAGGTATGATATTTCTGTGCTGTCCTGTAGCTCAGCTGTGACTTTCCTGGGGTTCCTTAAGCAAGCCACTCTCTTAGCTTCAGCCTCAACAAGTGTAAGGAATGCTTCACAAGAAAATGTGCTCTGAGCATGTACAGCAGGAATGAAGAACTGACAGCTCTCCAGATGTTGGGACTACAACTCCCTCCGTTCCTAACAATTGGCCACATCTGGACAGCCAGATGTTGCTCATCCTTCACAAGCAGCATAATCCCTGGCATATATAATCGGAAGTAATCTCCCCTGAGTTCAGTTGGACTTACTCCCAGGTAAATGCTTATAGGATTTGCAATCTTAAAACATATTAATGTGAAGTTACAGGGAACCAGGCAGAGGGCGCCTGCCATGTGGAATGCCCTCCCATCAGATGAAAAGGAGATAAACAACTACATGACTATTAGAAGACATCTGAAGGCAGCCCTGTATAAGGAAGTTTAAAACGTTTGATGTCTCACTGTGTTTTTATATTTTGGATGCTGCCCAAAGTGGCTGGGGCAACCCAGGCAGATGGGCAGGGTACAAATTATAACATCATCATCACTGTTACTATTACTTTTATTATTATTATTATTCACTCAGGCTTTCAAGCAGGTTCTGCCTCCTCACTAAATACAACTGGTTTCCTTAAACAGAAAATCTCTTAGGTTTTTTCTTTTTCTTTTTTTACAGTAGCAGCTTGTCTCCTGCTTCAGATATCTGACACAATAGGCCCACAGCAGGCCATAGACAGCCTGCGAGACTTGAGAGGTTCAGGAGCTATACAAACCATAAAGGTATGAGGGAAGGCCATGATGGGCCGGCTTGGTAGTGGGAGGACAAGTTAAAGGGCAACAGCTGACTAAAGGCAGTGTTTTGTTTGGCACTGAAAATCTTTCCTGGCTTTCTAAGAGTTAAAGAAGGATATCAGTGCTGCTGGTGACAGTATCCATAATTCACCATTTCTGCTCTTGACCACAAGGCCATATCAGAATCCTGCATTGCCCTTACAGAAAACAGGCTTTCTAGACACGAGAAAAGCGAAAGTGTGGATAAGCCCTGAATATTTACAGAGCATTATTATTATTATTGGGTGGAATTCAACATTGTGCTCTTCCAGTCATTCCATCTGTGCAAGCCTTGCAGCTTCCCAGACGGAACAACCCTTTCCTATCCTCCCCCATGTGCTGTTCTGTGGGTTGTTCACTGGACCCCCTTGAAGCCAATTTCAAGGTGAGGAGAGGGCGGGAAATCCCTGTTGCACAAGTGGAAGTCCTTGCACCAGGCTTCTGCTGATGGTGCTGGTTTAGTGAATCCTACCCAGCATCTCCCATTGTCCTCTTATTCAGGGAGCTTGCCATTTAATGGACTGCAAAAAATCAAGGACATGTGAGCAGATTAGGAGGATCCTGGACCTGGTCTCTCTAAGGAAGTTCAGCTGGGAGGGAGGAGAAATTGAAAGAGACTCTAGGAACCTGCACTCCCAACAGACAACACTTTGAAGAACCTGAGAAAGGAGGGGGGTCTGCTTGACAGCTAAAAAGTGGATTGGTCGGGAGTCAGGAGAACTTCCTTTGGGCTTTCAGAAATCTGTTCTCACAACCACCTTTCACAACTGTCCTCTACTCATTTTAGCATCTGTGATTAGAGAACAGGTGCTGCAGCTTATCCACTCTGCTTTCCCTTGCAGCAATACAACTACCTACATGATTTTCAAGAGACTCTGGCTGTCCATCTAGCAACAGAAGGTGCAACAGCAAGATCAGTATCACGATAAACAGCAGCAGTGGAACTGCTTCTTACATGACCATGCTGCAATTGCCTTTGCTTGGTGCATGCAGGTGAAAATGCACCTGTCTCCAACATCTCATTGGAACTTAATTAGTCAAGTTATCCTAGCACTATCTCCCTGGCAAGCTGCCTGATGCGAAATACAACAAATGTAAGCTCTGAGGGTTCTCTGTGAGCACTATAATTTTTTCACAGCATAAATTCACATTTTAAAGGGTACATTTGTCGATGGATTCCTGAAACGTAACATTCTCAATATGTGGTTGATTTCACAATAAATATTAGTTTCAAACCTTCTGTTCATATTTTTAACTCTCCATCCCACATCTTGTTTTCTGTGCTTTGGTGGGACGTGTTTGTTCTCTGTTCTTGCATCTCACTGGTTTGAGGGAAGCCCTACAGAAGAAAACAGAATCTGGCATTTTTAAGCTTTAGGGTGCGTTGCAAGGTTTCCTGCTAAGTTATGTCTTAGGACACACCCGCAACAGCTGGCATTCTGGATGTCTTTAACGTGGGCTGCCTTTCCAAATGTCTCTCTCCCATGAGGTTTGAACAAATACTGCACAAAATACTGCCCCTGCAAGCTTGCACCTTACTTTCCTGTTCACTTCTCTAGAAACCTATGGGCTGTTCCCGTAACTGCTAGGAAACAGTGATTGTCCTCCAAGCTTGCATGATTGCCTAATCTGACTTGCCCCCCAGTGATCTCCTATCCTGAAACAATTTACTGCTATGCAGGCTTTCTAAAAACCAGCTGGTACCTGTCAAACCAGAAGTACCTCCTGTTCCATTTGAATTCCCCCCCACCCCCGTCTGAAATCATCAAGGGCAATATTGATCTATTTGATGTAGCCAGCCATATCAAAGGTAAGCTTAGGCAGCAACCCTGGTTGATGTTAGCTTGGGTAGGCTGCTTGTTTAGCGCCTTTGGAAGGCTCTGTAGAAGTGGAAGTGCTTTTTGTTGTTTCAGCCTCAGAGATACCTACATATGCAGGTCATACTGTATATCCATCTGGTCCACTGCTGTCTACTCTGATTGGCAGTCGATCTCGAAGGTCTCAAGAGTTCTTTCCCATAAACTGCTACCTGACCTTCAAAAAAACAACAAAAAACAAAAGCCAACCCAATAAAAAAACCCCAGGAGATATCAGAGTTGAGGAGCCGTTATCTCTATCCCATGTTTATGGGATAGGTAAAGGTAAAGGGACCCCTGACCATTAGGTCCAGTCGTGACCGATTCTGGGGTTGTGGCGCTCATCTCGCTTTATTGGCCAAGGGAGCCGGCGTACAGCTTCTGGGTCATGTGGCCAGCATGACAAAGCCGCTTCTGGCAAACCAGAGCAGCCCACGGAAACGCCATTTACCTTCCTGCCGGAGCGGTACCTATTTATTTACTTACACTTTGACGTGCTTTCAAACTGCTAGGTTGGCAGGAGCAGGGACCGAGCAACGGGAGCTCACCCCGTCGCAGGGATTCGAACCGCCAACCTTCTGATCAGCAAGCCCTAGGCTCTGTGGTTTAACCCACAGTGCCACCCGCGTCCCTTGTTTATGGGATACCTATATTGTTTATGGGATACCTGTATATTATAAAGAGATTCACACCTCTCTGCAGTTAATCCTACACTCACATCCTAGTACCTTATACAGTGGTACCTCGGGTCACATACGCTTCAGGTTACAGACTCCGCTAACCCAGAAATAGTTCTTCAGGTTAAAAACTTTGCTTCAAGATGGGAACAGAAATCGTGCTCCGGTGGCGCGGCAGCAGCAGGAGGCCCCATTAGCTAAAGTGGTGCTTCAGGTTAAGAACAGTTTCAGGTTAAGTACGGACCTCCAGAATGAATTAAGTACTTAACCCGAGGTACCATTGTATGTAAAAAAAGAAAGGAGCACAAAGCAAGCTTTGAATTAAAGCTGACATATTTTAAGAGAGGCAGAGGCAGTTTGGTGAAAGCACCAGTATCTTACATACAAATTTAATGTATCTCCTAGAGGAAGTTGAAGAAAACAAATGCTATGCACACATCATGGGCAAAAACCTTGTTGGCTGTTTTAAAAGCACACATACTAGAAGGAGCTAATATGGCTGCCAGCTGTATAAAGATCATGTAAAATATCAGTCACAACACAGAAAGTAATAGGTAATCTTTTTTACGTGAACATACTGCTATGGACACTGCCATGCCATTAAAGCGATGACAGGCACAATTTCAGATCCTTCAGCAAATACTAAAGCTAGAGATGCAGGATCAAGTGAACATAATCTACCCAAGCATGTGACACTCGTCGCCAATAGATAATGATGGTTTTGAATATGCCAAATGAGATGAATACCTATTTTTAAAACTGCACAGCTGTCAGAATAAGGACTTGGAGCTTCTTGGTATCCTGATGCACTGAATTCATTTTAAAATCAAGTTTCATAGCTGTACAACGCAATCAGAAAATGTTTTACAGGATCTTGAAAACTTGGAATATGAGGTAAGGACTGGCTGAAATTTCTTCATTTCCGTTCTTATTTCATCCACCCCTATGGACTTAGGTCGGCAATGCTCATGGCTGTCTTCCTTGCACCTATAATAGATATCCTGTTTGTGAATAAAAAGCAGCTCCGTTGTAATCTTGAAGTCCTTTGTTCCAAGAACCATGAACGTCTCAGCAGCTCTTGAGGCAGAAGTTGACTTCCACCAGCAATGGGCATAAGATGCTCGACAGAAGAAGTGACCCAATATGGCTAACCTGATCCAAAACACCCACCCACCTCACTCACACACGAAAACAAAGATCACCACAGCCAATCACAAACAAACAATCACATCCTAGGCCAACCCCAACCTCTCTCACCACCAAAGGAACACAAGTGAACAACACAAGCAACGCTGACACCAAATCTAAATACATTAAGCATAATAGAAACATCGCCACCCGACCCCCACCCCCATCCATCTTCCCTCCCTCCACCCCCTTTCTTTTTTCTTTTTTTTTCTTCTCCCCCAATGCCTCAACAAATGAAACGGATTTGTAAAAATGTTACATGGGGGGGAAAAATACGAGGCATTACACTTACTTTTGTAAAACAAGAAAATCCTTAAAAAAAGGCAGTAGTAGTGACCAATTACAGTCTGGTGTGATTGACCTCCCCTCTAAAGAGCCAAAGTGTTTTGATTTACAAACCAAGACTCCATACTTGGAATCTCTTATAGCGTGAAAGCCTAGCTTGTCCTTGCTCCTGCCTAAGAACAGACGCAGTATTTTCCAGGATCAGGCCAGAAGTCTGGCTTTGCAAGAATCCATTCGAAACTGACCTGCTGCCCCCTGAAGGACATTGGTCTAGCTTCTAATTACCTTTGCTCTAAAGGCAGCCCTGCTGTTTAGCAGAAGGTGTCCTTTTTCAAGCTATCACGTTACCTTTAAAACTGGAACAGTATTACCTAGTAGCGGCTGGCTAAAGTCAGCAGTTCCAAAGCTCTTTGAAAAAGCCAAAGCAGTAGAAGAAAATAAAGTTTCATCCGTCTTTGAAGTTTTTATTGTATTGCACTAAGGAACAGCAGGGATATTCACCCAAACTCGTTGAACAAGTGTCTCAAATTGTATGCAATTCTACCTGCAGACTCACAAACTATTTTTATTACCACGCTTGACCCAGGTTGTATGGTAATTTGAGACCGCTACACAAGGTTTTTTTTTATTTTATAGGGTGGTTTTAATATATACTCTTCACCAGTAATCCCCTCTTCCCCTACCACATCCACTTAGTGTAGAAAATTAAAGCAAGGGGCATTCAATGTTTGCCGTAAATATGGGAAGTTTGAGCCATGCACATTATAGGGAGGTAATATCCAAACGGTAAAAAATAGAACTACAATTCTTCCTGCAGTTGTTGTCATGTATTCATCTATAAGACACACAGAGGTTACCTAAGAGATAACATACAGAGAAGCATTCAGTCTTTCAGGAGCACTTGGTACCTACAGGTGACAGCTAGATGGCAGTCCACAACCCAAATGATCCACTACAAAGTCAATTGAACAAAAACAAAATTCTATTATACTAAGGACAGCAATTAATACTATTATAATTGAGGGAATGGGCTGTTCCTTATGGAGAGCAGGGTCAAAACTGTCCAAAGCCAGAGGTAACCGCTTTACATTAATTTATATGTGATTTCCATCACTTTAAACATCCCAGTAAAATTTAGAAAATGAAACCATCTTTCCATGAGTAGTAAAGTATGGGCACAATTTAAAGGGGCAGGAGAAGAAGATGTAGAAGTCGTCTTTCCCCCCACCGGTTGCAACTGTGATCGTCAGATTCCACTGCTAAATCTTGATACTAGATTCTTCTTTGAAAACAATCCTTTCGTCTTGTGGCTTTTCTGCATGCACTTCGCTGGAACCAAGTCTGCTGGATGCCATCTTTTAAGAGCTCACCAAGACATAAATCATGCTGTTGGAAGAAGGATAAACAGAATAATATATACATATCTTTTAAATTTAGCAGAAATATTTCTGCTTTGTTGCATACTAGGAGTACCTTCTGTGTCCAGCCTTTACCACTGAGCTCATTATGTACCACTGTAAGTTAGAGCCAGATACTCAGTGGTGCAACCACAAGGGAAGTAGATATCCGCACACAGTTGTTAGTGCCGCTGGCACTCACTCCTATTATAAATGAAGTGCTTGCAGTGGTTATTTATTGCCTGGTGCCCTCAACACAAAAACATGTGTATCCCCCAGCAAAAGCACCACAGACGTTCACAACTTGGTGCCTCTGGTTGGCAAACTTGTCTCTTTTGTTGAGGTCTAGCACAGTTCTAATAAACAAACTCAAGTGGCAGTAGCAAAAACACGCTTTCCTGGCAATTCAAGCAACAGTTGTGCACAACTTTACTTTGCTTACATTTTAAAGCAACAAACTACCTGAAGAGCATGGCACTTTTTTAAAGAAAGAAGTTTTGTACAACTCAAATTCCACGTCAGATAGCAATTTCAGAAAATGCATCTAAATGGTAGGGATTTGCTTTCTAGTTAAGAGCTGCTTTGCTTTTTAGGATCTAGTGGCAAGGCCCTGTTCCAGGCCTCAGCTTATCAAGAGGCATCTCTCATGCACTCTCTGGGCAAGGCCTTCTCAGTCACACTAATCCAATTATGGAACTCCACCCGCCCCCTGCTGAAAAGGAGGCAGGTCATGAGATGAATTCTGGATAACCTTGAGACACGTATGAGATGCCTGGGCTTTTAGTAATTTTTAAAAACCCAACTATTGATACTTAATAAGAAATTCTGTATAATGCCTATCTTACTTTCCTAAATCGTCAACCGTCTTGAGTTGCTGGAAAGACAGTATGAAAAGTTCTGCAACAAATAAAAATGAAATTTGTGACTTACCCATATAGGTAGTAAAAAAAAGATAGAAGGTAAAATGCTAGTTTGCACCATCCTTCCTTCTGGCAATATGCTAAAATATCTGCGTTCATGATGGTTGTAGGATCATAGAGTCCTGGGCCGCTCATTACAGGCCTGCTCATATACCTGGAAAAACGAATTTGCATTTTTAAAAGGTACAAGGAAAGAAATTTTGGTATTCAGACATTCAGCAATGAGAAGAAATAAAGATGCAGCTGCATTCATGGAATTGGAAGATCTCTCTTCACCTCCTTCCACCTTCCACTTATCAAAATGTATTGATTTGTTAGACTTGCATTCCACCTTTCCTCCAGTATGGAGTCCAAGGCAGCCTAGAAGAAGCCTAAGCCTAAAGGAATTGCACCAGTTTAGTGAAGTGCATGACAAAATCCTACCTAACCAAAACATTCCCTGTGATCCACTGCAACGCTGACATATCTAGATCGCACTGAAGGAGGTGGTGCCAGACATTTCAGCTTCAACAACTAGCTACTGACCTGATTCCTCTGATCTTGTTTTTGTTATTGGTTTCACAGTGAAAAATAAAATGTCCCTTGCAATGATTTCATGAAGCAAGGTGTTTGGGGCCAAAAAAAGCAGGATACTAACAGTATATACAGTGGTACCTCGAGATGTGAACGGGATCCGTTCTGGAGCCCCGTTCGCATCCAGAAGCAAACAGAACTAGCGACGGCACGTCTGCGCATGCGCGCGCTGCTTTTCGCCGCTTCTGCGCATGGCATCATTTTGAGCATCTGCGCATGCGCGAGCGGCGAAACCCAGAAGTAACGCGCTCCGTTACTTCCGGGTTGCCGCAGAGCGCAACTTGAACGTGCTCAACATGAAGCATATTCAACCCAAGGTATGACTGTACACTGCATTCATCCGCAACAGCTAAGTACAACATACCTATGATTACTAGATAGTAGGGATCTCCATCCTACTCTGCATCCAACTGCCTACCGTTGCAGACAGAGCACTGGACTAGACAAATTCTTGGACTGCACTTTGCCCATTTATATAGGCGAAAGCAGGCTCAAGGCAGAACTACAAAGTTTATCTTCTTAAGTTAAGGCCTTACCCATGTGCTTTAAGTATCAGAAAAATGAATCTCCCTCTACTTTGCAAACGGAAGTCATGGAAATGGCAGAGAACCATGTAGGACACTGAAGATTTAATTTAGATCCAAGCTTGCCTCTTTTTCTGATTTCCTCTCTCCCAACAATAAGAAGTGGAAACTTGTTTTGCTTTAGATTAAGGCCAAGACTTCCAGAGCCCAATCGATGTGCAACATACACACTGAACAGCTTTGGCTGTTGTATTATTCATTCTTCGACAATCCTACGTGAAAAAGGCGTCAGCTGCATCGTTAACCCAATTCCTCCGCAGGCTTAATTTCCACAGGAAGTCTACATCAAACCGTACAGTAAGAAGTGCGTTTCCATGAATAAATTGAGACTGAACCATGCCCAGCATTACCTCCAAATATGGTAAGCCAACAACGGCATATTGAGACCCAGCGTGAGCCATTCTGTTGCACACAGAAACATAACACAGAAGAAAGCGTGGATGAGGTACTCCGGAAGCACAAGCTGCAAAGGAAGACACACAAGTCAAGGCAGTTCTGCTTCCACATTTAGTGTATTTTACTTGCGTTACAGTGACAGGGGGTGTACTGCGTCAAAAGAAAGAGTAAGGGGCAATAAGCAAAGCCAGCATTAGACAAGAGAAGCCAACATAATAGTTTCAACGTACTGTGTCATGAGTGTGTAAAACGTGCAAACAATACTTAGTACAATTTGCATAAAACTGGCCACTGCTCACATTGAATACCATTTATACAATCTGCGGTATGAGAATAAAAAAGGCAAGTTTGCACATTTTGGAGAGGGTCATCACTCAAACTGAGGACTCGTATATATCTTCCATTTTACAACTTACATCCCAGGGAAAGTTAGATTTTCCATAGGCAATGCCCATCTGTCTTCATATTAGACTGGCAGATGGCCTTACAGCAACCCTCCAAACGATTTCTGCTTACAGTGAGCTACATCCAAACCACAATTTACAGGTGGGATTTCAGCTACCTAACCAGGTGCCCTCCAACTGTTTGAGATAACTCCCATCAACCCAATTGTTGGAAATGGTGGAAACTGTGCAAGTCTACACATACAGCAAAAGAGGAGGATGTTTGGTATTTCTTTTATATTTTATTTGGGGTGGACACAGAGATCTCTGGTCTTGCCCACTGCATTGTTTAATCAAGTAAGGTGGATACTCACTCAACTAAGTTTTATTTCCTTGAAATCCATCAATGAACTTCTCCCTTCAAAATCAATTTAGCAGATTTCAAAGCAATTCTGAACTCTGTTTGTTTTCTGCACTCTGTGGTTTTAGAAAATTTCACTTTCAGGTTCACTCAGTTACATCTACAAATTATCAAGACTAGAAACTTACATAAAATCCTGAGAATTTCTGTATTCAAACCAAGACTCAACAACTGCACAGTTCCTTGCTAACCTTCTATTGCTCCATTTCTACAAATTTTGGATGTCCCAAACTATTCAGGTGAAGCTGTGTATTACTGGTTGTCTAAATCCTGGAACTCTAAAATGCTGTGTATGTTATAAACCAAATGTTTTCTTTAAAAAGCATTTTTTTTCCTTTACAAATAATTGTGCAGAGATAGGACCAATACTCTAACATAAACAATGTACACAAATATAAACAGCACAAATCCTGCTGTGCAGAAGGGAACAAACAGTGCCTAGAATCAACTTAACAGGAGCCCATTTCTTACGTTCTACGAAAAGCAATTTACATTTCTAATATATTCACTTCTTAACCATCATGCTTTCCAGTGAAAACCTACGAAGACAGTGTACCCTGTTTATATGGGAGCCTGTTATCATAGACAGCAGTTTGTAGCCAAGAAAAACTGGAAACCATCAACCACAGATGGTAACAGAAACTGCTGTTGATCTGATATTCCTCACTCTGTCTGAACTTGCAGTCATTGTTGTATCCAGTATGAAAGGAGGAAGCACTGCAGTTAACACAGACTATTCAAATCTGCATGTCCCCAAATACAGGTTGAGATTCCAGCTGTGCGTCTGCTAAGCAATAGGAGACCTAAACACGAAAGTTATTACAAGCATTCAGCCACAAAGCATTAAAAACTAGACCAGCTTGTGGCTAAAATTATTGTCAACTTGCTGGCCATTTCCTAATCTTGCACGTTAATCCTGCTTTTAAGAGTCCTGCACTTCTTTTAAACCTATTGCATCCCTATTGGGAGGAAAGCATTTATAAGTACGCTCTTTAGTCACGAGAAAGTCTGCAGACTCTCACCTGTATATTTAAAACATAGTTGTCCAACATGCATATGGTAGAATCTTTTTGATTAAAAGTCTGTGATAAGGGAATGCATACATGTAGTGAACATTTTCTCACCCTCCCATATCAAATGAGAGATGACCGAGCAGGGTAAACTGTTCCATGCGCAACCACTATCCAAGCTTGCGACATTCTCTCAATTCCACGTATCTGCTTTGTGGAAGCAGCTTCTAGCAGTTGTACCCATATAGCCCATAACCTGCTTCTAGCTGATCGGTTTACGTTCAGCACTGACACCCACTGGCTCAAAGCTAGCAGGGCAATACTGAAAAATCTTCTAGCTGGAGGTGTAAAACCCCATTGCCCTCCAGGTGCTGCTTGGCTTCAGCTCACATCAGGATCCCTGCCCAATGGCCATTCTGACTGGGGCTGATAGGAGATGGAGCCCAAACACATCTGGAGGACCAGAGATTCTCAATTTCGGCTCTCGCTGAATTTTGTTTCCCCCCAACTTTCTCAAGCACCCTGATTAATGGAGTAGCTGAAGGCAAAAGGGAAACACTTTGAGTGAAGGCAGAGGTTAACACCTGAGAAGTTGTTTCATTTATTTTAGCTCTCCAATCTGCTAAGCAAGTACATGTACAGTTGAAATGCTACATATATAAAATGAGTGTCTGCCATCTTTTGCTCTCTATTTAAACAGTGCAACCTGTTCCAACAGCTAACAGCAGTGTCAGTAACATCTCCTGAGGCTGTGGCAACAATTTTTCCTAAATCACAAAATGTAGGGATTAAATCCCCCACCAGGAAGGGCCACCTCAAATTAGGAGTCCACAGACTGCAGGTTATCCAGCTCTGGTTTAAACTGAAAATCTTTTAAAGAACATAGACTACGCCTCTCACTAAGGTGCAAATGTAACAGCAGCTACCTACAAACCCTGGGCTGTATCCGATGCAAGCCCAACTGAGAGGACACCCACTGAGCTTAATAGACATAAATTAGTCTTGTCTTAATTTCAGTGGGTTTACTCTGAAGAGTACTGGCACTGGACACAACCCCATGTATTTAAAAAAATATATCAAGGGGCCAGACTTGGAATAGCACACTCCTGTATTCCAGTCCCCCGACTCCCCAACATGAATTCCCATAATTATGGTTTTGTGATCTGCACCAACACTAAAACAGGGTTCACATCAGAACCAGAGTTTGAAGCCATGTTTTGAACCAGATTTGCAAACTCTGGTTGAGGGGAAACCTGGCATTTTCCTCGTTAAACAACAAGTGTCAAATCTATTGGATTCTTGCCAGACTGGCTTAGTTATAGAAGAATTTAAGCATGTAACAGTTTTCCCCATCTCTTATTAAGCAAGCCAACTCACAACGCACAAAGTCCATGAAGTTATTACAACCCCTGAATAGACAAAAGACAGGCAAATGAGCAAGCACACCGAACAAAAAGAAGTCAACAGAAATAATACAGATGTTCCTAACAAAATGAAAAGTAGAGAGTGGCATTAAAACATTAAACTAAAAAGCAGTACACACCTTTAATGCAATTTTGACTCTCTTAATCTTTTTAACCTTTTCAACTGTCTTTGTACCGAAAATGTAAAAAGCAAATTGAAAGAATGTTAGTATGACAGCTGACAAGATCACCAGCAGACAAGCAAGTCAGAACTTCAAGCTTACAGGAAAAGAGAAAGAAATCTGCCAAGAAATCTTAGATCTATTACATATTATCAAGTAACATTTTACTAATGCATCGTAAGTCAATATTAATTACCAAAAACCTGGCTAAGAATGAATGCAAAGAGATCTCTCTCACGTAAACTTACAGGGTTGAGTGTATTACACTGGTCTATGGGATTCTTGTAGTCAGTCTTCAGCTCATCAAAAGCTATAATCTAAAATAAAATTAGAACAGTTGGACAGTAGGGTGAGAACAGCTCAAAAGGAATGTGTAGCCCTGTTCAAAAGCACCACGCCCTGAAGAGACAAAATCCTAGTTTCAAGTTCAGAGGAAACCCTCCCAAGGGTTAGATCCCAGCCAGCTAGTCTCTTAAAATGTATGGAACAGCTAGGCAGAGTCTGGACACAATGTGAAAGAACTCAAAAGACATTTCCTGTCGCCACAAAAACACTCCCTGACCTGCGCAAGACAGCTCATTTGACAGGTTTCTTCATCCGGTTTCTGGGGCTAATGAGGAGAGGGAAAGCACAAGCTCTCCTTTAACTTGGAAGCAGGCAACGCTCCTTGACACAATTAGCTAGTCCAGTGAAATATGATGACATCTATTCTATAGGCAAAAGATTGCTAAAAACAGTACGGCTATTTCGTAGCACTTCCATGACCCAGCCACATGGACACATTTTATCCTGATGCTACTTAGTTGACGCTTCCCAGTTCTGCACAGAGTAACCCCAGCCAAACATTTGCTGAAGGGAAGCAGATTTTGCAGTCGTGTCAAGTTAAGAAGTTGGTAGTAACTGGAAGAAGGGAGGGGAGAGGAGGTCTGGGAGGAAAGTGCCCTTTGTTCTATCAGGCTCCAACCACTTCTGATGGGCAACAAAAATGCTCGCCATCTCCCTTTTGCTAATACCTGGGCAAAGTCACATTAATTGGCCCCAGGGCTGGAGTATTAGGAGAGAAATAGAACAGCAAAATGCCACAAGATTCTGGTTTGGCAACTTCTGGTTGACCCAAATACCTAGAACCCAGCACTTCAGTGCCCCACAACAACTCCTTCCTTTACCACCTGCGAACAGGTCCTATTCCCCCCGCCTCCCACCAAATATGCATCCATCTCTTGGACTCTCTCCCCACCCAGAACCCCCCTGAAATCACTTCATAAGTTCATGCAATCACCCACGCACCCCACTTTCCCCACTCTTATCTCCTCACCCCCCAAATACATACCACTTATAAGTGCGCTTGCCTTCTCCCTCCCCGGGAGGAGCACCTATTTTCCCCAAAAACACCCACCCACAGAGAGAGCTCTCCCCTGCTAAGCCCCACGGATTGCCTATGCAATGCCATGGGTCAACCACTAATGCAAAGATCCTCCTTCCCACTTCACCCCTAAACCCAAGCTGCGCCCCCTCCATGTCTCCCTCACCCCATGGATCATAGACCCGTTTACTTCTCCCCAACACACACCAAGCTCTATCCCTAACCTTCACAGCCCCATTTCCCTGCTTGCATGAGGAGTCCCCCTCACCCCATGGACCCCTCATGCAAAAAACCCCAGCCCCCTTTCCCCCCATGGCTGCCCCCTAATACAGCCCCCTCATGAGGAGCCCCCCCTCTCTCCCCACGGACCCCTCCCCGACTTCCCTAACCTCCACAGCCCCATTTCCCTGCCCCCTCGACCCATAGACCTCCCCATGCAAACACCCCCCTGGCTGCCCCAACACAGCCCCCCTCTCTCCCTACGGACCCCCCTAACCTTCACAGCCCCATTTCCCTGCCCCCTAGAACCATAGACCCCCATGCAACCACCCCAGCCTCCCATTCCCCATGGCTGCCCCCTCACACAGCCCCCCTCTCTCCCCACGGACCTCCACAGCCCCATTTCCCTGCCCCCTAGAACCATAGACCCCCATGCAACCACCCCAGCCTCCCATTCCCCATGGCTGCCCTCTAACACAGCCCCCTCCCTCCCCTCATGAGCCCCCTCATCCCATGGACCCCTCATGGAAAGAACCCCAGCCCCCTTTCCCCCCATGGCTGCCCCCTCACACAGCCCCCCTCTCTCCCCACGGAGCCCACCCCCCACCTCCACAGCCCCCTCCCCCCCCCGTCCACTCACATGCCAGATGGCGAAGAAGATGAGCGCGGCGGTGAGGAGCAGCGCCAGCATGTAGCAGAAGGCGGCGAACGTGAAGGCCATGGCGGCGGCGGCGGCGGCGGCGGAAGACGAGGCCCCGGCCGAGCGGCGCGCGGGGGATGCCGGGCCGGATCATTCAGGGCGGCCGCCAAGAGCCCGGGCAGCGACGGCGAGGCCGAGAGGGGAGCGCCACTGCGCACGCGCGGGCCGCGGTGACGACGGCGGCGGGCAACGCCCCGCCCTTCCCTCCCTCGAAGGCGCCACGCAGCGGCCACTCGCGGCCGGCGCCGGAACTGCAGCGCCGCCCGGACACGCTTTTGTTCTCCTGTTCCCGTTTCTCACGACCAGAGCTACTGGAAGTAACGGGGCCCTTTTTATGTCCAGCTGTCCTTTCTCAACAACAAATTGTCGCTGTCTTCTGTGTGGAATATATGCTATATGGTAACTGATGGACCAGAGACATCACCTTGCCAACAAAGGTCAAGCTATGGTTTTCCCAGCAGTGGTGTATGGAAGTGAGAGCTGGACCATAAAGGAGGCTGATCGCCAAAGAATTGATGCTTTTGAATTCTGGTGCTGGAGGAGACTCTTGAGAGTCCCATGGACTGCAAGAAGATCAAACCTCTCCATTCTGAAGGAAATCAGCCCTGAGTGCTCACTGGAAGGACAGATCCTGAAGCTGAGGCTCCAATACTTTGGCCACCTCATGAGAAGAGAAGACTCCCTGGAAAAGACCCTGATGCTGGGAAAGATGGAGGGCACAAGGAGAAGGGGACGACAGAGGACGAGATGGTTGGACAGTGTCTTCGAAGCTACCAGCATGAGTTTGACCAAACTGCAGGAGGCAGTGGAAGACAGGAGTGCCTGGCGTGCTCTGGTCCATGGGGTCACGAAGAGTCGGACACGACTAAACGACTAAACAACAACAACTGATGGACCTAATAGGTATCTCAAGCCATTTGCAGACACAGAATGTAGGCACCCTATATATAGAAAGGAGCAAACCAGTGATCTTTGAGGGAGCAGGCTAGCAGGCAGGGCTCATTACTTACATCATAGGAGCCTACACAACACAAAACACTGTTGCTGGGTGTAGGTTTTATAGTATTTGTTTTTTATCTTATATTTTGGAAATGTACATCCATTTTTCCTTTTTGGGGGCCCCAAGAGAGCGGGGCCCTAAGCTATAGCTTGTTTAGCTTATGCGTAAATCCGGCACTGGGTTGAGATCAGAGGCTGAGGACTACAGTGGTACCTCGCAAGACGAATGCCTCGCAAGCCGGAAAACTTGCAAAACGAAAGGGTTTTTGGTTTTTTGAGTTGCTTCACAAGACGATTTTCCCTATGGGCTTGCTTCGCAAGACGGAAACGTCTTGCAAGTTTGTTTCCTTTTTCTTAAAACCGTTAATACAGTTGCGACTTGACTTCGAGGAGCAACTCATAGCATGTGGTAGCCTTTTTTGAGGTTTTTGAAGACTTTTGTGATTTTTGAAGCTTTTCCAAAACTTTTCCGACACCGTGCTTCGCAAGACGAAAAAAACCGCAAGACAAAAAAACTCGCGGAACGAATTAATTTCGTCTTGCGAGGCACCACTGTAGAGCCTTAAAAGTGGTCGCTTATTTCTTCTGGTTGCCTTAGCCTGCAGACAAGAATCTTAAGCAACAATGGATGGAAGTGGCGGGGAAGAGGTGCTGCTTCTCCTTGTCCTCCTCTCAGGTTCAGGAATGGGCTGGCCTTCTGTGCTTTTTTTGTGTTGAATATATGCTATATGGTCATTTATGGACCTAATAGGCATCTCAAGCCATTTGCACATGTGGCCATGCGACCAGTCCATGCAGAATGTAGGCACCCTATATATACAGAAAGGAGCAAACCAGTGATATTTGAGGGAGCAGGCGGGGCCCATGACTTACATCCTAGGAGCCTACACAACACAAAAAACTGTTGCTGGATGTAGGTTTTATTTTATTGGTTTTTTATCTTATATTTTGGGGGGGAAATTTCCCTTTAAATTTTTTGGTGGCTCCTCTGGGCGCCAAATTCTGCATATGCAAATAGCCTGCTCCCTCAAATATCACTGGTTTGCTCCTTTCTATATACAGTAGTACCTCGGGTTACATACGCTTCAGGTTATATACACTTCAGGTTACAGACTCCGCTAACCCAGAAATAGTACCTTGGGTTAAGAACTTTGTTTCAGGATGAGAACAGAAATCATGCAGCAGCGGGAAGCCCCATTAGCTAAAGTGGTGCTTCAGGTTAAGAACAGTTTCAGGTTAAGTACGGACCTCCAGAACGAATTAAGTACTTAACCTGAGGTACCACTGTATAGGGTGCTTACATTCTGCATGGACTGGTTGCAGGGCAACATGTGCAAATGGCTTTAGATACCAACTAGGTTTTACCATATTGCATATATTCAACACAAAAAACAGCAACCATTTGTTGTTGACAAAGGGCAACTGGACATATAAAGGGCCTCATTACCTTCAGTAGCTTAAGGCCTCCTCAAACCTAAATCCGGCCCTGGGTCCAGCATCCTGTTCTTATAGGAGCTGAGCAGATGCTTGCAGAAAAGCAAGGCAGGAGCCGCCCCACTGTCTTTTTCACTCCCCCAGCACACAGGGACGACTTCCCCCTTCCCAGTGTGACTCCCAAGCTTACTTTCCTGGGAAAGTGACAGCCAATTTGGACTTCACCTAGAATTTCTCTAAAGAAAGGACCCAAAGTCTTGACTGCCGCGCAGGCCGCTGTGTCAAATTGAGCCCTGGATCAAAGGAGTTGCAGATGCCAGGGGAGAATTCAGGTGCCAGCCTGAGTCACAGCAGAGACGGCCTCATCCTGGAATCTTAGAGTCTAGGTCTTGTAAAGTGAGAACAGGATGCTTCTGAGCATGCACAGACTTCCATTTTCCATCTCAGTGAGTTAATAGTGTGCCCCACATGCCGTCTCTCCCCATTCCATACCATCACTCGAGGCCCCAAACCACCTGCTTCTTCCGCAGGTCCAGAAGGTGGTGATGAGAGAATGAGCCACAGGATGCTGCCTTGTACAGAGTCAGACCCTCGGCCACAGAGCTATGGCCTCCTCTGCAATAGCCCATTTAAGGAATGTTCTCCCCAAGGAGACGTGACTGGCACCAGCCCTTGCCCTCATTTCAGCACCAATGATATGATATGGTTAAATTTTATTTTTGATAACACTCATGTGTATTTTTATTGACTTTGTTTTATGTTGGTTGTAAATCACTTTGGGACGACTTCTTTTTTAAAGAGGGGAGCAATGTATAAATTGAATTACCCCTCTGGGATAGGAACCCTGCCCCTTTTATGTACATACTTCTGCCAAACCCTAAAAAAATATGCTATGCAATATCCCTAGTATATGAGCTTAAAAGCCTGCCCTAAACAGGCTTTTGAAAACTAGCACAACTGCATTGCCAAGTAGCCAGTTTGCGCACCACACTTCATTTGCAACATGCCAGTAGTTCGATTCTGCCTATTGATCTACATCACATGCGAGAGCCAACTTTAATGTTTCTAGGTCAAAACGTTTTCTGAGCAGGGTGGGAAACAAGGCAAACTGGGGATCAGTGAACGGGAGGCGGAGGAAGCAATGGAAAACAGCAATTTTAAGTAGGATTCCACAGATTCAAACCCAGGCCAAGAATTCCACTTAGCCTTAACTAGGCTCTGGACGGTAGGACTCGAACCAATAGCTTCAAGTTACAAGGAGATTCCGACTAAACATCAGGAAGAACTTTCTGATGGTAAGAGCTGTTTTGACAGTCTGGGGTGGCAGACTCTCCTTCCTTGGAGGTTTTGTAGGCAGAAGATGGCTGGCCACTTGTCAGGGATGATCTAGTTGAGATTCCTGCATCTCAGGGGGTTGGACTAGATGACCCTTGGGGTCCCTTCCAACTCTACAAGTCTATGATTCTATGGTTTCTTATCATAGCAAAACAAAAACAAAAAAACCCCTCACACCTTTCAAACAATGGTTAAGGTTGCACTGGGAATGGATGGAAAGAAATTAATTTAAGGGAAAGAAAAGTAGGGCAGGAGACTGCAATCCTCCACATTACTCCTGATCTTAGAAATGGGGTTAATAATAATAATAATAAATTTATTTATACCCCACCCTCCCCAGCCAAGACTGGGCTCAGGGCGGCTAACACCAAATATAAAAACAATTGATTAGAATACAGCTTAAAAAACAAAATTAAAACACAACATTAAAACATTAAAATGCAGCCTCATTTCAGTGGAACTCAATCAAAAACTTTTTTTGGGATAAAAACGTCAAGTCTTCACCAAGGCCAACAATCCAGACTGGTCCTACATGGGCCAGAAAAAAGCCAGGGAAGTCCCCAAATAGGAGTTCCAACACAGAAGGAGAAAGGAAAAAGGAAAGAGGGGGAGGGGATCAAATTGATTCCAAGCCAAAGGTTAAGATAAAAGTCTACAGCATCCCTCAGTTACTTCCCAAAACAACCCCATTCCACAAAAAATGCAGATCGAAGGAGCTCTCAGCAGCACAACACACACCTCCTGCCAACCCTTCTCAGGGCACTGGAAGGTTATTTTTTTTCATTTCTTTTTACAGACGCTCTTCAGCTTTGAATTACAGAAAACTGCCCGAGGTTTAAGGAAGAACTGGGGTTGTTGCCCCGTGATAAAGTCACTGCAAACTAAGCCCAAGATTGGGTACCAGTAACAAGATGTACCATATTTTCCATGTATAACACACACACCCCATGTATAACACAACCCCTATTTTTTGGAACTCCAAATAAAGAAATCCCCTATATGCACTATCCGTGTGTAAGATGACCATCAATTTTAAACTTGAAAAAAATATAGTCTTATACACGGAAAAATATGGTACTTCTTGCTACCTGGCAAAAAAAAGCAAAGGGGTTTGTGTGGAAGGAATTTGATGGAAGGATTATCAGAGAATGGATTCTCCAGTTAAGCAAAGGACAAATGCCCAGCCTTTCTTGCACAGAGGACTCCTGAGAGATGTCCAGTCCAAGGCAGGAAATCAAAATGGTAGATTAAAATGAGCAGTTTGTTGTTGTTCAGTCGTTTAGTCATGTCCGACTCTTCGTGACCCCCTGGACCAGAGCACGCCAGGCACTCCTGTCTTCCACTGCCTCCCGCAGTTTGGTCAAACTCATGCTGGTAGCTTCGACAACACTGTCCAACCATCTCGTCCTCTGTCGTCCCCTTCTCCTTGGGCCCTCCATCTTTCCCAACATCAGGGTCTTTCCCAGGGAGTCTTCTCTTCTCATGAGGTGGCCAAAGTTTTGGAGCCTCAGCTTCACGATCTGTCCTTCCAGTGAGCACTCAGGGCTGATTTCATTAAGAATAGAGTGGTTTGATCTTCTTGCAGTCCATGGGACTCTCCAGAGTCTCCTCCAGCACCAGAATTCAAAAGCATCAATTCTTCGGCGATCAGCCTTCTTTATGGTCCAGCTTTCACTTCCATACATCACTACTGGGAAAACCATAGCTTTAACTATACGGACCTTTGTTGGCAAGGTGAGGTCTCTGCTTTTTAAGATAAACGAGCAGTTAGGACATGGATTGTGGAGACCCAAGACGATCAGAGGCCGGCTGCCTCACCAGGCCAAAAAGCAGAATCCACTTGAAAATGGCCAGTGTAGCTCCAAGTTTCTGGTACTAAATGTGCTTGTGTGAAGCCCCCAACCGCGGTCTGCTGGGGACGCCTCTTTTGCAAATTCCCTCAAGCGGAAGACCCACACGAGGGCCCCACTGACCCTGCAATAATTTTGCAGAGGACTTTTGCATTCTGCAAATACAAGCTTATCCATCCTTTGTGTTGGCTTCACGTCATCAAATAAAGAACACACTCCTTCAGAGCATACAAGATTTATTTCAGGTATTTACAGCCTGCTTTTCAATTTGAGAATGAGAACTTCCATGGCACATTTTGTTTTTTTTCCCATGGAAACTTCTCTTTATTATTTATTTGCATTTATACCACGCTCTTCCACCAGGGGAACTCAGGGCAGCTTTAGGCAATGCTTCCTCAATAAATCTTTTCCAAGTTTATAAATCGAAATACTATTAAAAAGTGTAATTTTTGCAGACTCGGTTAATCTCTAGCAAAGAGGAATCCTAAACTACTACCGTATTAAAAAGGGCACGCTGTCAATAGAAAGGTTAATTTATTTACTTCGTTAGAAAAATTATAGTTTTCTTATGGGAATGTCGACTGTTTTCCCCGCCCCGCCCCAATTGTGTGTTTGTGTGTTGGTCTTTCTTAACACGCTTGATAATAGGTATGCAAAAACTAAAAATCCAAGGCTGGAATGAATATTCCAAATTGAACAAAGTTAGACGATTGTCATTTAAGTCTAAAAGTAAAAAAAGAAGAAGGAACGAAAGATGCTCAGCACAACACTTTAGAATAATGCCACTTACAAAAAGGACAATAAGGTCTCCTAAACGTTAAGAGAAAGGAAAATACCACGCTTCGTTTTTATCCCCAGTGTCAACTGCTCTCTTAAGTGTTTTAACAGCCCAGATGTATCATCAGCTGCTGCACAAGCTCAAAAACTTGTAGGATTAGGCAGCCCAGAAGGGGCTCAAACCCAACAGCAACTTAACTGCCTGATTATCTTGGCAAGCTGGGCAAGGTTCCAGGAAGGTGCAAGAGAAGGGCAGCTCCTCCATTCTCCAAGGCAGGGAGGCAAGCAGTTTTATGGCCCGTGGGCTAAATCCAGGACTACTGAGTTTCTTGCTGCCCCAGGAAACAGAGGAGATTGCTGCCTGGCAACCTCCGACCCAGATCCATCTACTCGTGGCCCTGCCTAGTTTTAAGCAACGCTAGGCAAAAGAGTTTCCTGCCGTCTCAATCCAAAGGTGAAAAGCCAGTTTGCTCCCAGAAGTCAACGAGAGATTTCACATTTTAGTGTCACCAAGAATGATCTATAGATGCCCTCTGCCACGCAGGAGAACGTTGTTCCAGAAATGATGCGAAGCGCTTGCAGCGGAATGGAACAGAGATGGGAAACCTGTGGCTGTGCAGGTGTTGCCGGGACTCGGCCCCAGCCAATGTGGCCAATGGGCAGGGGATGATGGGAATTGTAGTCGAGGAGTGGGGAACCTCCAGCCGGCAGGGTGACACTGGCCGATGAGCTCATTTTCCCCAAACAGTGCCCAATTTCCCCATCTGATGACATAGCTGGTGATGTCAGCTGACGGGCAGGGCTTTCTCCTTTAAGCGAGCAAGAGCAAAAAAAGGTTAAAGGAACCTGTACAATGTAGATTCTCTCCCTCCTACCCACCCATTGCTTGCTGCAAAGGGAAGCACTTTAAGCTAGTCCCCAAGCGCAGACAGGGTGGCGGGGACAGCCTTAAAGCAGGCGCTGTTTTGCGTTCTGCAACACCTGCCCCCAGCTATAGAGCTGGATCAGCTGGGAGGGAGGTGAGCCCATGCAGCAAAGTATACTAAGATACCTCCAGTCAGTGGCCTGAGAATGGTTGCTCATCCCAGAGCTTAAGAAGAGCAGGTCAAGGCCGTACAGCGCCGACAGGGAAAACGCCCCAGCAGGCCAGGCTGGTGTTCTCTGTTGCCAACCCCTCCCGCAGGCAGGGCGATTAAAAGTTCAAGTGCCAAGTCCTGCACCCAGGCAATTCAAGTTGTGCGCCGAGAAAGGTGGGCTGCTGTGACCTGCGCACAATTGACTCAACCCTAGGAGGAAAGGAAGGAAATGTGCAGGGCACCAATACATTGGCTCTCCCTCGCTGTTTTCAAAGAGGCAAGCCATAACTGCCCCACATGCTTCCGACATGATCGCCTTTGCAGCTGCAAGGAGCTAGGGGCATTCCTTCCCCAACGTGGTGCCCTCCAAGTGCTGTTGGGACTGCCACTCCCATCATGCCTGACCGCCGAGCTAGCCGGTTTTAGGCTTAAGGGGAGCAATAGGCTGAAACATTTGGAGAGCACCAAGGTGGGATAGAGACTAGCTTGAAAGAGGAACAAGACAGGAATTCTGCAAGCGGAATTCTGAATGTGTGCTACCTGCAGAATCACAGCATGTACACAGTCCTGTCTGCGGGTCACGGAGCCCAGAACAGAGCTGTGCTGGACATTCAAATACTAAGGAGCAGGGTTTGTTTTCGTGGATCTTTTTGGGTTTTCACCAGCCAAAGCACCCCGCTTTAAATCGTGGCAATAGCAGCCGCAGAATCTGCCCCTCCAGATGAAATTGATCAGACACCGTGTGCCCTCATCTTTTAGGCAGAGTCGGCCTGTGTATCAAGTCTAGTGTTTAAAAACTGGCAGCATAAGATTCTCTTACAATCAATGGAGAGATAAAGAAATGTAGAAAAGAAAAGAAAGGCACACAGAGAAGTGCTTGTATAAAAAAGACAAGAGAACAGTTAATAAAAACTGCGTATAAAGACTTAAGGAATGGATGTTCACCAGAGTGTTACTGAGCCCTTACGGATTTTTTGATTATTATTTTTAAGAAATCTACTTCCCTTTGGACTAGTAAAAGAAAAAAGAGGGACTATCTACTACACACAGAGAGAAGAAAAATAGACGGGTCAAACTTTTGACCCGAAATGGAAATATGTTGACGCAAGATCAACTGAGAATATCATTGGAATTTTAAAGAGGAAAGGAAGCGGTCCATTCTGAAAAACTGAAGAAGCGAGGGTGTGATTGATACTTCAGAAAAATTGCATTTGAGATTGGTTCTAAACCCCTTTTATGCCTAGAAGATTCAAGTCACTTAAGAAAATGCTGTTTTCACATACAAGCCATTAAGTGTCCAGTTTCTGTCCGACAAGGATGCCTCTGCAGCTCAGGCGAAGGGGGAAGAAAAGGCTACACATTTGACTGGGAACATCCTGCAAACAGATCCCACGGACACAAGCAAGAGCGATACAGAGGGTCCCATTCATCTTAAGCGGGGCTTGCGCAGGAAGCGTTCCTTGGAGGGAGACTGTGCCACAGAGGGAGGGGAGGTGGAATTGTCCCTGCAGGAAAGCTGTTCCCTTTTAAAACAGTTAATAAAGAGATGGAAGGGAAAACGACCCCTTGGGCAAAGTTTGGTTACGCAGGAACTGCCGCATCTCCCCACGCTTGTATAAACTTTGCACGCACAAAAATATATATGTACATACATACATACACACACTGCAGGAAACGACTATAAATACAGTGCATCCTTTGTGGGTCTAAAAAGGAGGAGGAGGAGGAGTCGCCGTGTCAGGTTCCAGTTCACACCAGGCTGGAATGCTTAAAGAGTCTTTCAATGGAAGAAGCCAAGTTTCTCATGCAGCCACTCCTCAGTGAGGTCTTCTGTATTCCTGATTTCAAATACCTTTAGTAAAAAAAAAAGGGGGGGGAGAAAGGTATTGTGTTAGTAACTATGGTCTCGGCCGATACAAGCTTTTCCGCTTGTGTGGTGGCACCTCGGTAAAACCACGTCTTAATGTTTGTAGCAGAGTTTTCCCCGGAGGCAGAGGACAAGAACAGGAGTCATACTCAAATTCACAGTCAAGATCTTCTTTATTGCTTGACTGATTGTACAGGCATTTCTGTTACTATCATATACAGGCTATTTACATTCCCTCTTTCTCTCTCCAGCACGGTATAATCTCAGTCCAGTAATTACCGTATTTTTCGCCCTATAGGACGCACTTTTCCCCCTCCAAAAATGAAGGGGAAATGTGTGTGCATCCTATGGGGTGAATGCAGGCTTTCTCTGAAGCCTTGAGAGCGAGAGGGGTCGGTGCGCACCGACCCCTCTCGCTCTCCAGGCTTCAGGAAGCTGTCCGCAAGCCGTGGGAGAGCTGCCTGCACCCCGCTGTTCCTCGACCTGCTTTGGAGGCTGGCGATGGGGAAAGCAGCGCTTCTCCCCATCGCCAGCCCCACAAGCTCAGGGGACAGCGGGGAGGCGGAGCACGCCTTCCCGCTGTTCCCCGACCTGGTTCTTCCAGCCCCGCACCTGGGGGGGGGATTTTTTTTCTTTATTTCCCCCCCAAAAAACTAGGTGCGTCCTATGGGCCGGTGCGTCCTATGGGGCGAAAAATACGGTAACAATCCTGACACAGCAAAACTCACAGTATCAGCAGCACACATTGTCTGACTTCCAACCTTGTTGTCAGCGTGTGTGCTGACAGAGTGTGTGTGTGTGTGCTTTCCTCGTGTGGAAATTGCAGCCTGCAACTTCCTCCCTTTGTCTACACCTCTAGCTGACACCAATCAAGCCTAGAGTGGCACTCCTACACACTAAAGAAAAAAATCTGGAACCCTCTTTAAAGCTTCTAGGAACTTTTATCTGTGTCTTAAATAACGTTTTCCTAACAGTGAAACCTTTGCACAGGCAGAATGCTTTGGTAAGCTGTCAGCATGCGACGACACACCCCAGGAACAGATTTGACTGGCCTGCTAAACCGAGTGAGGGAAGCAGATGGGTCTCAAACCCTCGGTGACTTGGGACTCTGGAGGATTGAGCGGACGAGACCAAGAGTGGGTTGAACGGTCAAGAAGGCAATTCCTGCACATGCTGCAGAGGGGAGTGAGGGCCAGGTGGGGTTCATTAACCTGGGAAAGCAGCCAATATAAGAGAAGGAAAACACTGATCGTAAACCTGGCTTCCCTTCAGGAGAATAAAAAGGCTCAGGAGTAAATCTGGAGTAGAGTGCCTCCTCCTGGCAACTCCTGCAGCCAAGCTGGTGCCAAATGTCTTGCGCTGCTTTCCTTTGGACCCCATCAGTGAGAGCCAGTGTGGTGTAGTGGTTAAGAGTGGTGGACTTGTAATCTGGTGAACCGGGTTCGCTTCCCCGCTCCTCCACATGCAGCTGCTGGGTGACCTTGGGCCAGTCACACTTCTCTGAAGTCTCTCAGCCTCACTCACCTCACAGAGTGTTTGTTGTGGGGGAGGAAGGGAAAGGAGAATGTTAGCCGCTTTGAGACTCCTTGGGGTAGTGATAAAGCGGGATATCAAATCCAAACTACTACTACTCTTCTTCTTCGTGTCTTGTTTACGTAGTAATCGCTCCCCACATTAAATGGAGGGGCACCTTTTGTGTGGTCACGCGCAGCCCCCTGGACCCTATGCGGCACCATTAGCACAGGTTTGGCTTCACTTTCGCCAGGTGGGATACCTGGAGGTCTCCGCCTACCTCAGCCAGTTGCCCAATCCTGCCTGGGGAGGATTTGTCAAGGTAATCAGGCCAGGTAGGGGGAGGGACCACCCTGCCCACACAATTGGGGGAGGATCTTACCTGGGAATTGTCAGTTGGCTCCAGAGCTTCTCCCACCCTACCCACCCTCAGTTAAGACTTCTTTTGCAGGTTAACCTTTTCTCCACAGGTACGCGGGCGCTGCTACGTCAAGGTCGCTGTTGAAGGGCCGGAAAGGAATTCCTCTGCATTGGCAGGTTTGCTTTTCCCGTAGCAAAACGTCACAACTTTGGCGGGATCAGGCCTTGGGCGGAATCCTTTAGTCTATCTTCCCCAAACTCCTTAAGGGAGTGATAAAGCAGGATATCAAATCCAAACTCTTCTTCTCCTCTTTATCTGGTCAGCCCAGGACCTCCATACCCCCTGCCCAGGCTTGCGCCCCAAGGACGTCACTTCGGTGCTGCTAACACAGAGTTTCGACTTCACCCTCGGAGGCACACTCCATTGTCTCTCGAGACAGAGGGAGGCCAACGACAAACACCGAGCACATCCCTGATACTTAATCCAGAGACGTCTGCTGTTGGGCAGTGTGGTTTGGAGGATACAACCTCCCAGGCCAACTTGGACCCTGTGGGTGGGTCAAGACTGGCCCGCTGGCCTGAGAGTCACCCACCCCTGATCTGCAGGATCTCTCAGAGGGGCAGAAAAAGAAGAGCTGCAGCTGCTGCCCTGCCCTAGAAATTGCCTGAGGAACAGGGGAGCAGAAGAGGGGTGCATTAGCCACTGCGGTGTTATTTAATGCTTCCTCTGAATGCAGGCAGAGATGTCAGCTCAGACCGCTATTGATTCATGCATCGATGTAAAATGGAAAGATGGGGGGGAGCGAAGCTCCATCACACAGTACAGATTAGTTACTGCACTCAAAACCACAGTAGGGCGATTATGGAAAACATGGTGGGGTGGAAGGAAGAGTCTCCTCAGGGGAGCGATGGAAGGACCAGGCAGGAGAACACAACCCTGCTCAAGAAAGGCCAGCTAGGAAGTGCTGCTGCTTGCTCAGAGGATTAAGGGCACAGTAGGAAGCTAGGTAAATCAGGGAGCCAATCAGAAGGTTGGCGGTTTGAATCCCCGCAATGGGGTGAGCTCCCGTTGCTCGGTCCCTGCTCCTGCCAACCTAGCAGTTGGAAAGCACAAAAGTGCAAGTAGATAAATAGGTACCGCTCCGGTGGGAAGGTAAATGGCGTTTCCGTGCGCTGCTCTGGTTCGCCAGAAGCGGCTTAGTCATGCTGGCCACATGACCCGGAAGCTGTACGCCGGCTCCCTCGGCCAGTAAAGCGAGATGAGCGCCGCAACCCCAAAGTCGGTCACGACTGGACCTAATGGTCAGGGGTCCCTTTACCTTTACCTAGGAAGCTGAAGGGTACAGTAAGCTGAAAGTCTAGGTTTGCCCTGCCCTAGATGCCTGGGGCAGAGGGGAGCTGTGGTCCAAACCATGTGGATGGCACCAGGTTAGAGAAGGCTGGTCTAATTCTTGTCTCCCTTGGAAGCTGGAGCACACAGCTAGAAATCCAGTTCCCCACACCAGATTTGCTCTGCAAGACTGTGAGCCAGACAGCTTGCACTGGTCCCTGTCCGCCCTGAATAGGCGTGAAGGCAGGCGAGAGCGGGCGCCCCTCTCTTGCCCGCCTTCCCAACCCATCTGAAACTTACAAGGGTTATCCAGAGGTGAAAGGATGCCATCGGCCAGTGCTGTCCGTGTGCATGCCTGGGTGTCCCCATCACTCAAAGCCACACCTGGCTTCCTGGCACACCTGTGTATTCATGCGCATGTAGCTGAGTGACCAGCCCTTATGAAACTGGAAATGGAAAACCAACTTCTTAATTTTTTCCCTCTCTTTCTTCTCCTTCCACTTTCTCTTTTAATTCCTTTTCTATTCCTCCCTCCCTCCTCCTCTCTTTCTTTCTCTCTAGTTCCCCCACCCCTCTTCTCCATCTCTTTTTTGCCTCTGGATCAATGTTTTCGTTTGGACCACACACAAAAAAGGAGATATTTGACAATAATCTTTGTATTTTTCTTTATAAACTCCAATAACGTTAATTAAAAAAAAAAAAAAAAAGGAAGTGGAAGCCCAGTGAAGTCTGAAGCTAGCCACAGGACGCCTTTCCCCCCACATGCCAGAGGATCTCTTGCACAAAAAGAGACAGTGACTCAGTGCCAGTTCTCTGCCTCTCTGCACAACTAGCAGAGCAGAGTAATTTTGTCTAATTTATAGGGGCAGATCTGTATACTGCGCACAGGCTACAAAGTTCAGTTTTCCCCTTAGCACAGAATTTTATGGGCACCACATTCCAGTGGTACCTCGGGTTACGAACGCTTCAACTTACGTTTTTTTGGGTTACGAACGATTGTAACCCAGAAGTAAGTTGTCCAAGCTCTCGGAGGCCTCGCCGCTGCCTGGAGGGTTAGGGTTAGGGTTAAACCCGGACATCGGCAGGGCCTACGGAGCTCTCTGAGGCCTCTGCGAATGCCGGGAGCCAAGCCACTGTGATTGTGGAAGAGGACCCTGAGCCCCCTCCAAACAGTGAGTTTGGAAATAATTTCTTTTCATCTAAAATACTGTCTTATTTTATAGTACAGTACATTGATTATTGCCTTCATTTTATGGATCAATGGTCTCGTGAAACAGTAAAATTCGTGTTAAATTGCTGTTTTAGGGGGTGTTTTTTCATCGTCTGGAACGGATCAATCCACTTTCCATTACTTTCAATGGGAAAGTCCGCTTCAGGTTAAGAACGCTTCCGGTTAAGTACAGACTTCCGGAACCAATCAAGTACTTAACCTGAGGTACCACTGTACACACATGCCCTGATAATAGATTTAAAACTGATAGAAGAGTTTAGGCAATGGGGAAAGCATCAAGTTAGCATGACGAATCAGACCATTGGTCCATCTAGCTCAGTGCTGGCTACACCAACCGGCAGCAGCTCTCCGGAGTCGGGAATCTACCCAAGGACCCCTCTGCACACAAGGCAGATGCTCTAGAACACAGACATAATTTCATTTGCACGCCACCTTTCCACAGTTCAGACCATGCTCAAGGCAGCTTACAACATGAAAAAAAAACACGTCACTGCAACATAACAAAAGTGGACATGAACAATAAATCAATCATTTAAAGTATGCAACCAAAAGGAGCAATTTGTGTACTGTATATATATCACAACAGGACTGAAAATGATACAAAACAACAACAGCATCCGCACCCAAGAAAGAATCCAAAACAACACCCCAGCTCAAGATTCTGCCCAGCAGCCTCAACTTCTGCAGCTGGAGTCAGTCAAGGTCCTGCCTTCCAGGCCAGGTGGGAAAAGGCCTGCAAGCAGGAAGCAGATCTTCCAGGACTCACAGCCAAGATGGTCTTCAGCAGCCTCAGCTTTTGCAGCTGGAGTCAGTCAGGCCTTCCCCACCCCCATTAAGCCACTACCTTTCCCCAAAATGCAGTAAGTTCGTACCCAGCAAATTCTGGGAGCGTTCCACTCTTACCTTTGTGAGTTCCGCCGTCTGTACGAGCTTATTTTTGCTGCCGGCGTACATCATCTGTTGCTCAGGCTTGCACCCTGCAATTATCGGGAGGAAATCGGGATCAGGAGCAAAGCAAGACCAGCATTAAGGCAGTCTGTTCAGGAGGAACGGGGCAGGGGTACAGATGGAATAGGCCAGCCATTTTACTGCCTGGCTGCTTTTCAATCCCCACTCGCTACCAGCTCCTTGCTCTGCTAAACCTGTCACCTGTCAGATGCTCTGGACTGCAACTCCCATTGGGCCAATGGGAACTGTAGTTCTGGAGGGCACCTGGTTGGCAAAAGCTGCTCTACTAGAGTCTCGTCCCTTGCAAGTCGCCCCTTTCCATTTATTAACTGATTGCATTTATATCCCACCTTTTCCTCTAAGGAGCTCCCCATTTCCGCCCCCCAATTTAATCCCCACGACGACACTGTGAGGCACTTGCGTGGTCAGTTCACAGCAAGTCCAAAGAAATGAGAGATTTCATGCAGTATATATATCCTCCAGGCACCCTCTCCCCCTTCCCCAGGAATCTAGTCACATCAGCTTGTACACGCAGGTTGACATCACAGATGTTCCTGCTCCAGTACTCTTAACCATAAAAGGGTTTTCCTTCCTGTACTCCTGACCATAAAAGGGTATTCTTGTTCCTATGCTCTTATCTTGGAGCAAGAGGTCACCAACTCCAAGAACACACTCTGGCGCTGTTCCCGGACTAGGTCTGTGCGTCAGAGCGCAGTAAGGGAAGACCCAGACATGTCATCCCTACTCCACTGGAACAGCCAAGGTCATCTTTTGCCGTGACTGATAAAGGAGAGAGCTTTGTTTATACAGCTGTGTTCTTGTTATGCATTTGCTCAACAGCTCAAGTTAATGCATTTTAGAAATGCTCCCTTGGAAAAAGAAGAGGAGGGGATTTTTGGGTCCTGTTTCAAACTGACTACACAGAAACCCATTCCTTCAGGCTGGGCTGAGAGAAGGCAATGACTGGCCTAAGGTCATACCAAATGAGCTTCGTGGCCCAGTGGGGATTTGAACCCAGGTCCTAGCTTGACAACTCTTAAGCGTTGCACCTCCTGGGCTCCGAAATCTAAGCCAGGCTTTGTCAGCCTGGCTCCCTCCAGAGGGTGTTGGACTACAACTCCCATCAGCCCCTGCCAGTGCATGATGGGAGTTGTAGTCCAACAACAATTTCTGGAGGGTGCCGGGCCAACGAAGGCAGGTGTATACACTTAAAATTGAGAGCATGGGGGTCCTGAAAAGGGCGATTCACAAGCTTCACCAACATAACCTCGCCCCAGATCATGTGTGGGCTGTTCTTAGGGCTATCCTAAGACGTGTTTTTGTCCCGTCCGATTAAAACATGGCTCCCAGCGGAACTTGCTGTCCTTATGGCAATCAGCCATCTCCATCTTGAAGCCCAGCAGGCGGCTGTGTTTTGCTTCGCAGAACTGTAAAGAGCTGGAAGGGCCCTCAAAAGGTCATCCAGTCCAACCCCACGCAGAGCAGGAATTTGTACGGGAGAAACTGCCCCCATCATCCAGCCGGAGCTTGACTTACCGACGGGGCTGGAGAAGATGAAGCAGAGCGGGTAAGAGACTCTCCCGTCATCGTGCTGGTACTTGTAGCTGTAGACGATGAACGTTTTCTCAGAGTTAAGGAAAATGGAAGCAGGAGGGGTGGGCAAGAGAGGATCTTGAAACCTGCCCGTTGCAACGTGCTCAGTTTTTAAGCAGAGTTTACAGGTGAGGAGGGCAGTTCATACCTGGGGCTGCTACGTTCGGATCAATGAAACGCTAAAATGGACTAAAGGCGGCCATGATCGTACCAGACAGTTGAAAGCACTTCCCAGGGACTCTTGTTTGGTCTGAGCAGCGCCTCCCCGCCCGCCCCGCCTGCTTTCCACCCCGAGGTCCCATTCGCACTATGCATTTAAAGCAGAATCATCCCACTTTAAAACAGTCACATCTTCTCCCTAAAGAACGCTGGGAAATGCAGTTTTGCTTGTTATATTCTTTACGGAAAAATAAGAAGTATAAAATTTTAAGTGCACCAGGTAAAAGAAAATGTGAAAATAAAATAAAATAGGTCCAGTCGTGGCCGACTCTGGGGTTGCGGCGCTCATCCCGTTTTATTGGCCGAGGGAGCCGGCGTACAGCTTCCGGGTCATGTGGCCAGCATGACTAAGCCGCTTCTGGAGAACCAGAGCAGTGCACAGAAATGCCGTTTACCTTCCCGCCGGAGCGGTACCTATTTATCTAATTGCACTTGACGTGCTTTCGAACTGCTAGGTTGGCAGGAGCTGGGACCGAGCAACGGGAGCTCACCCCGTCGTGGGGATTCGAACCGCCAACCTTCTGATCGGCAAGTCCCAGGCTCTGTGGTTTAACCCAGTGTCACCTGCGTCCCCCCCAAAAAAACAAATAAATAAAACAAAAAAACACCCGTTTAAAAAACAAAAAACAAAAAACTATTAACATTACATGATGGTTATGGTAGTTAACCTAAACTTAACCTACTACAGTGCTCATAAAAATGAATTCCAAATGTTGTTAAATTTGTCCATGGCGAGTCTACATTTGTAAACGGCTTGTTCATGTGTTACAGGTTTGTACATATATTCTATCCACTCATTGAAGAGAGCTGCATTTAAATCTTTCCAGTTCATCAATATCTGTCTTTTTGCCTTGGTAAGGGCGTGGACACTCCATTCATATTTTCCCTTTCTTAGGTTCAATGTCCTGCTTGTCCATTGAGGCTCCAGCTCTTACCTAGCTTATAATGGGCGTTCTAAAGACAGCCTCTCACCCCTAGTGGGCAAGAACTGTAAAAAGGGGCCTTGTACCAAGCCAGAACATTGGCCCACCTATCTTAAAATTGTCTACGCCAGTGGCTCCCAAAATATTCGCACCATGGACCACTTGAAAATCGCCGAGGTTCTTGGCAGACCACTTACCGTATTTTTCGCTCTATAAGACGCACCAGACCACAAGACGCACCTAGTTTTTGGAGGAGGAAAACAAGAAAAAAATATGCTGAATCTCAGAAGCCAGAACAGCAAGAGGGATCACTGCGCAGTGAAAGCAGCAATCCCTCTTGCTGTTCTGGCTTCTGTGATATCTGTGCAGCCTGCATTCGCTCCATAAGACGCACACACATTTCCCCTTACTTTTTAGGAGGGAAAAAGTGAGTCTTATAGAGCAAAAAATACGGTAACTGCTTTTCTGCCTAGTGTAGCTATTGTAATACACCATAGGGACATGGGTGGCGCTGTGGGCTAAACCACTGAACCTCTTGGGCTTGCCGATCAGAAGGTCGGCAGTTCGAATCCCCGCGACGGGGTGAGCTCCCTTTGCTCGGTCCCTACTCCTGCCAACCTAGCAGTCCGAAAGCACACCAGTGCTAGTAGATAAATAGGTACCGCTGCAGCGGGAAGGTAAATGGTGTTTCCGTGCACTCTGGTTTCTGTCATTGTGTCCCGTTGCACCAGAAGCAATTTAGTCCTGCTGGCCACATGACCTGAAAAGCAGTCTGTGGACAAATGATGGTTTCCATGTGAGGATTGAACCTGGAATCGCCACCAGTGACCCATCGATTTGTACACCTGTTTCATGGCCCAACCCACATGCCCAGGCAGAGCTGGTTGTGATGGCTTGAGGCTTTTGCAAGCACCAATATGCAGACCGGAAATGGGTTCTTCTAAAGCAAAATATTGCCGCCGCCAAAAAAAGGATATCGAGGTTGCCTCTCGGGCAGCTCGTCTTTTAGCTCATCTGGAGAAATGCCCTGGTAGAATTAAAAATAAAACAAGAGACGGGGTTGTGCACACAGGAATCCCACAGATATATCCAACAGCTGTATAAAATGGTATACATAACAGTAACTAAGTTATCCAAGCTACACTGGCTCCCAGTACGTTTCTGAGCACAGTTCAAAGTGTCGGTGCTGACCTTTAAAGTCCTAAATGGCCTCAAAGGTCCAGTATACCTGAAGGAGCATCTCCACCCCCATCGTTCTGCCCAAACACTGAGGTCCAGCTCCCGAGGGCCTTCTGGAGGTTCCCTCGCTGCGAGAAGCAAAGCTACAGGGAACCAGGCAGAGGACCTTCTCGGTAGTGGCGCCTGCCCTGTGGTTCGCCCTCCCACCAGATGTCAAAGAGAATAACAACTACCAAACTTTTAGAAGACATCTGAAGGCAGCCCTGTTTAGGGAAGCTTTTAATGTTTGATGTATTACAGTATTTTAATATTTGGTTGGAAGCTGCCCAGAGTGGTTGGGGAAGCCCAGCCAGATGGGCGGGGTATAAATAATTTATATATTATTATTATTATTATTATTATTATTATTATTATTATTATCTGAAGCATGTTCCCTTAAAGAGCCCTTGACCATTTTATTCTGTGAACCACCCTGATATCTTATGATGAAGGCTAGTATATAAATCTATTAAATCATCATCACCGCCACCACCAGGTGCTGTTCAGATATCAGCTCCACCCAGCAGGGACGAATCATACTGTGGCTGATGGGAGTTGTAGTCAAAAACATCTGAACAGCACCAGCTTGGCAAAAGCTAGGAAATAAAGCCCACTAAACTCAGTGGGGTTTGTTTCTGAAGAGACATGCCAAGCGCGACGTTGCTACTTCTGCCAAGACCACCCAGGCGTGGTTTCAGAGCATCCTGCAGGAACCAACATTGCAAAGGGCAGAGCTGGTGTGGCGTGGAATACAGACAAAGAAACGATTTTCCAAATGGCGCAGCGGTTCACTTTCAAAATCCAGCAATAAGAAAATCTTTGCTGTGAGAAGTTGCAGCCCCAGCTTGGAAGCAGTTTGTAGCTGGAGGCGAAGACACAAAATCCACACTATATAAATAGACCATCCACAAACCTCATGTTCTTCATCCAGAACCACCAGCTGCTTATCCTTGTCGATCTTCACTATAATAAAAGGGAGAAAGAAATTGAAATGAACCCACTGAAATTAATGAACACGACTCAGCTAGGACCACTGATGTCAATGGTTCTACTGCTTCCTTTTTTTACAGGGCTGCTTGCCCTGCCTTACTCTCTGGCTGCAGCCAATTAAGAGTAATAATCTCCAAATGGGTCCAAACTCCAATGTTTAAAATCTCTGGTAGAGGACAAAGATCCAGAGATCACGTTAAAGGTGGCCAAATTCTGTGCGATTGCCATAAAACTTAGGGAACAAGCTGTGATACCACCACGATTAAGGTTTTAAATGACAACTTCAGGTTATATTTTAGTGAGTAAGATGTAATTTATATATTTTAATTGCTGCTGCATCTGTACTGTCCCTGTTATACCGCACTGCAAATTTAAATGCATCCCTACTGTGTTTCGTGACTTCCCTGATTTTGTATGTGAGCTGGAACTGGTCTGTGACCAAAATAATAAATTAATTCAATTAACAGTAGCACAATTAACAGGCCAATGTTCGGAGCAACTCTCAGCTGACCCACCAAGAGGATTCTGGACACTGTTCCAAGGGCTGAATACTAGAAGTTGGCAAAAGGAGGAGGAGGAATGACAGGTGCGTATGTTTTCCTTTGTGCAAGAGGCTATTTTCCACACCTATTTACGCTCCACACCCAGTATGTTTCCGAGCACAATTCAAAGTGTTGGTGCTGACCTTTAAAGCCCTAAACGGCCTTGGTCCAGTATATCTGAAGGAGCGTCTCCATCCCCATCATTCAGCCTGCACACTGAGGTCCAGCTCTGAGGGCCTTCTGCCAGTTCCCTCGCTGTGAGAAGCCAAGTTACAGGGAACCAGGCACAGGGCCTTCTCGGTAGTGGCACCCGCCCTGTGGAACGCCCTCCCACCAGATGTCAAAGAGAACAACAACTACCAGACTTTTAGAAGACATCTGAAGGCAGCCCTGTTTAGGGAAGCTTTTAATGTTTGATGTATTACAGTATTTTAATTTTTTTTGGAAGCCGCCCAGAGTGGCTGGGGAAGCCCAGCCAGATGGGTGGGGTATAAATAAATTACTATTATTATTATTATTGTTATTAGGAAACCCTTCTCTGTTCTCCATGTAGACAAGCAGGGGAAATTGTCAAAGTTCAAGGGCAAATCCCAGCCAGGCAAAAACACTCAATGAGGGTGCAAAGCAAGGCTGACGAGGGGTGAGGCCCAGAGAAGAGTTCCAAGGGCCAGAGAGAGAGGTCTAGAGGGCTGAATGTGGCCCCCGAGTCTGAGGTTTCCCATCCCTGCTGTTGAGCATCACCCTCTGCCACAAAGACACTCAGAAAAGGAGTGTCTTTGTGGCAGAGGGCGATTACAGGGTAACACTGACTCCTCACTGGCGACCCGCCTGCACTCACTGTGTGCTATTAGCAACATGGGTTGCTATTAACAACATGCTTTAAAAAAAATAAAAACAAAAGCTTTTATTAAGACTTTGCTCTGTTGTTTTACCACAAGGGAAGGTTTCTCACCATCCTTGAAAAAAGGTGGCAAGTGGGGTGCCACAGGGTTCTGTCCTGGGCCCGTTGTGGTTCAACGTCTTTATAAATGACTTGCGATGAAGTAAAAGAGGGGATGCTCATCAAATCTGAGGTTGACACCAAACTGGGAGGGGGAGCTAATGCCGCAGAAGACAGAATCAGGATTCAATACATAGCTGTCAATGTTTCCCTTTTTTTAAGGGAAATTCCCTTATTCCGAATAGAATTCCTCACAAGAAAAGGGAAAAGGTGACAGCTATGATTCAATACGATTCCCTTTCAGGGAAGTTTTTAATATTTAATGCTGTACTGTTTTTAACACTTGATTGGGAGCCGCCCAGAGTGGCTGGGCAAACTCAGCCAGATGGGCGGGGTATAAATAATAATAATAATTATTATTATTATTATTACCTTAACAGATTGGAGAACTGAGCCCAAGGTTACAAAATGAATTTCAATAGTGACAAATGTAAGGTTCTGCACTTAGGCAGGAAGAACCAGGTGCATAAATTTAAGATGAGGGACACCTCAGCAGGGACAGGGCCTTCTCAGCCACAGCACCCCCAAGTTACAGAACTTGCTTTTTTCCAGGAAGATATTCTTGCTGTTTGGAACCAGATGAAAACGGTGCTTTTAGATGTGTTTTTGCCTGGTGACTGTTGAGCAATTTTTCTTTTCTTTTCTTTTTTGCTAGCTAGCTTGTAACTTGTGTTTTATTATGGTGGGCTATAAATAGTTCATCCACATGCACACACACATAAATACTGCCCAACGTCACCAAACCACCCATAGCAAATGCCACGACGGCAGTTTCTTGTAGTTAAGAGACGTTTGCTCAACCAGGGCAGGGAAGGAGAATCAGGAGAAAGAAGAAACATTTGGAAAAGAACATAAGCCGCGATAAATCCACTTATCTTTGTAACCATGAGGGCAGTAATCTCTTTCGATTTCTTCTTTTTAAAGGGATCCTCAGGATGATAAAAGAGGCTCCACAGAAGAGCCACTGAAGCCGACAAGGTCAGCTCTGGACAGACAGACCCGAAGCTTAATTACGGTGTTGACATAATTTGGGACAACTTGGAGAAACTGCCTCCAAGACTCTGTTGGCCATTTAATACCCTACTGCTTTGCTACAGCAGAAGTGGGGAACCCCAGGGCCAGAGGCAACCCTCAGGCCTCCCTCTAAGCCACACACCCTCTCCTCAAGCCCCTCCCCCTGTCCCCAAACCTATTTGGCTGGCTTGTGTCCTCCAACCAAGAATACCTTTTGCTTGCATGGAATGAGGCTTATATACAGTCATACCTCGGGTTAAATATGCTTCAGGTTGAGCATTTTCAGGTTGCGTGCCGCGGCGACCCGGAAGTAATGGAACGGGTTACTTCCGGGTTTTGCCGCTCGCGCATGCGCAGACGCTCAAAATGACGTCACGTGCATGCGCAGACGCGTCTTACGTTCTGTTCAGGATGCGAACAGGGCTCCGGAACGGATCCCGTTCGCATCCAGAGGTACCACTGTATACACAATGTGTGTTTGTGCGCAGACCAAATGTGAGAGAGCCCCCTTATCTTTGAACGGCTGGAATCTGGCCGACTGAACAAAGGCAATCGCAACGGCCATTGCTCCGCCCACTACTGGCTTGCGCCTTCCCCTTCCCACCTCAATACTTCTCACTGCCAGCATTCGAAATTAGGCAGGCGCCGGGCGCATTTTGCACCTGGCTATCGGCCACTTGCGACCGAGTGAAGATGACCGGGCGCCAATATAGCGCCTGATCGCTCCACCACCTGAAAGCAGCTGCCTGGGGATCCTTGAATCTTGGCTGTTTTCACACACTAATACCACGTCCTGTAGAATTTTGTATTTTATCTGCACAACCAGAATGAATTTCAGGGACCAACTTCGAGCCGCCTGGCTCCAAAATGGCATCTAGGCATTCCGCTTTGGCAATCGTAACCTTGGTTTAAGGAGCCATTTGCCGCCCAGCTTATATATTTGAGTTTCTAACACTGATCACTACCTTCCAACAACATTTCTCCCGCTATACAAAGTTGGGACTGAGTGCCTGCATCTTGCCTCTGGCCATTCAGTGGACTCACAAATCCACAAGGAGAGCTCTGCTGGATCAAGCCAATGGTCCCCTCTAGTCCATCACCCTGTTCTCACAGTGGATTGCGGGAAACTAGCAAGCAGGATTCAAGCACAAAAGTTCTCTCCCATCCGGTGGTTTCAACCAACTGGTAACCTGCGGCAGACACAAAGGTTGCCACTCAACCAGCTCTCCACAAATTGCCTAGGACAGGGTTTTTTTGTTCGTTTTTTGCTGACATCCAAATGCAAAAGTTCTTTCAACTCTGCTCTCAGAAAGCAAAGCGCAAGGAGGCCTCAGGCCAAATGCAGAGTCCGCAACGCCCTCTGCTCTTACTCAGCAGATCCTTCTCCACCCCAACCCAGCGCAAGGCCTTGAAACCCTGGTGGGCAGACGTCTTACTGATAATCGCAGCATTGTTCGTCTCTTTGCGGAAACGGAATTTTCTCAGCTTCTCCACAAGGTCTTCAGCCACGTCACAAACCACGAGGGATTCACTCTGCGGGGGGGGGGGGGGCAGGGAAGGAGAGACGAGGAGGGAGATGAATAAGACATTCTTATTAAGACATTTAAGTCAGCCACAGCTCTCTGATCCCCAGCTGTTGGCAGGTCTGGCGCAAAGCCCCAGAAACTAATAAGAGGAAACAAGTAACTACAGTGGTACCTCGGGTTACAGACGCTTCAGGTTACAGACTGCGCTAACCCAGAAATAGTACCTCGGGTTAAGAACTTTGCTTCAGGATGAGAACAGAAACTGTGCGGCAGCAGCGGGAGGCCCCATTAGCTAAACTGGTACCTAAGGTTAAGACCGGCTTCAGGTTAAGAACGGACCTCCAGAACGAATTAAGTTCTTAACCCGAGGCACCACTGTATTCTGAAATGCTTTGTGCTCTGTGATCCTGCAGTGAGAACAGAGGAAGCAGCCTTGCACAAAGTCCAGCCGTTGAACTGTGTCCAGTTCTGGGCACCACAGTTCAAGGAGGACACTGACAAACTGGAACGTGTCCAGAGGAGGGCAACCAAAATGGTCCAAGGCCTGGAAACGATGCCTTATGAGGAACGGCTAAGGGAGCTGGGCATGTTTAGCCTGGAGAAGAGGAGGTTAAGGGGTGATATGATAGCCATGTTCAAATATATAAAAGGATGTCACATAGAGGAGGGAGAAAGGTTGTTTTCTGCTGCTCCAGAGAAGCCGACACGGAGCAATGGATCCAAACTACAAGAAAGAAGATTCCACCTAAACATTAGGAAGAACTTCCTGACAGTAAGAGCTGTTTGACAGTGGAATTTGCTGCCAAGGAGTGTGGTGGAGTCTCCTTCTTTGGAGGTCTTTAAGCAGAGGCTTGACAACCATATGTCAGGAGTGCTCTGATGGTGTTTCCTGCTTGGCAGGGGGTTGGACTCGATGGCCCTTGTGGTCTCTTCCAACTCTAGGATTCTATGATTCTATCTGCTCAGTACAGTCATACCCCATGTTACGTTTGCTTCAGGTTGCGCGTTTTCAGGTTGCGTCCCACAGCGACCCGGAAGTAACGGAACGGGTTACTTCCGGATTTCGCAGGTCTCGCAGACACACAAAATGACGTCACGCACATGCGAAGAAGCGGCGATCCGCAGGCTTTCTTTTCAGGTTGCGAAACGGCCTCCGGAACGGATCCCGTTCGCAACCAGAGGTACCACTGTATTGCCAACGCCAGCCTTCCCCAACGTGGGACCGGGGGCTGATGGGAGTTGTAGCCCCAGTATGAGGAAGGTCACTGCAGACCAGGGATAGGGAACCTGTGCCCCCTCTAGATATTGCCAGGCTGGCTGCAGCTCCCTTTTCCCTTAACCATTGGTCATGCTGGCTGGCGGGAGTCGGGAGTCCAGGCACGCCTCCCTATTCCTGCTGCAAGCGGAGAACTTGAGGAAAAGGACTTTTCTGCTCATGCCACTGGGAAAGTCCAGAAATAGAGGTGATCTGGTTGGCCACTGATGGTGGATGAGATAAGCCAGGTATAGGGAACATTTGGCTCTCCAGGTGTTGCTGAACCACAACTCACAAGGTTTCTACAAGGATGAAATGAGAAGGGGAGAATCGTGTATGCCTCCATGGAAGAAAGTTGGGATATAAAAATAAGCAAATAAAGGGACAAGATGAAGTTATCCCCCCGCCAGGACTTAGGCCACACCAGAGAGTTTCTGGATATACATCACTGCCTCAATGTTCATCTTACACTATACAGATAAGACAAAACAAAACCTATCCTGCAAATTCCTTTGCTCTCTGCAGTGAAATCCATCTCAGATAGTCATTTCCAGCATGGAAAGGCCAAGCTGATGCAAGTGGAAGGACAGCAAAGAGCAGAAACAGGAGAGAAGAGGCAAATTGTTGCCGCAAAAGACGTCCTTCGTTATTCCTGCCTGAGCTTCTCTACTCCTACAAGTAGCTTTGTGAAAATGTATTCCTGGCGGTTACACTCACAAATAAATGCAGCTCAGCGATTGCGTCAGGCGGAGGCACAGCCCAGTTCCCTGAATAGGCTGCTTCCAGGTACTTGCACCACCCAGAAATCATTTGCTCATCATAGGAGGCCCTGAGCCAGCAAGGCACCCGTAAGCACCAGAACAGCTTACTGCAGCCCTGTTGCCAAGGAAAAGAGAAGGAAAAGCATTTGCGAGTCTCTAGCTTACATCTCCCTGCCGTGCGGGGATTTGGAATGACTTCTGTGCAAGGGTTTAAAACCTGTTTAAATGCCAGAGGATTTTTTGGGGTGGGAGGCAGAGGGACTCCACTTCTGCCACTGCTGTTTCAATTGTAAGCTGTTTGGGGCAGGGACCATCTCATTGTTTCTTTTGCTGGAACTAAAAATAATTTTTATTCAGAGGAGTGAGGAATCTAGTAGAGGAGCTTCAGCTCCTGTGCAAACCCACAAAGCACCTAATTCCTGGGGTGGGGAGGAGGCAGAAATCTTGACAGTAAAACTGGATTAGGTTTTGCAAGACAGACATGCCCTACTTTTCTCTCTTTTTTTTTTTTTTACTCACAGCCAGACTTAAGGCTAGGAGCTCTCACAAACAAAACAGCTCAAGGCCTCTAAAGTCTAACCGAAGCCTGTTGAAAGAGGCTTTCAGCACACAAGCCAATTTCCTTGAGAACTAGCCTTTTGAGTATCGCAAGGAGTTAAGAATTTAAGAGAGGTTGGGCAGGGCGAGTGAAAAACTTACAAAGGGGATGTGGCCGTGGCTCAGCTGGCAGAACATCTGCTTTGCACACAGAAAGGTCCAGGTTCACTCCCCAGCACATGCAGGTGTAGCTGGGAGAGACCCCTGCCTGAAACCCTGGAGAGCAGCTGCCAGTCAGTGTAGACAATGCTGAGTGGGATGGGCCAATGGCCTGACACAGGAGAAAGCAGATTCCTTTGCTTCCAAAGTGCCAAGACCAAGACCCAAGGCCATCTAACCGAACTGCCCTCCCTACACAAGCACCAGCCCCCTCCCACCAGCTGACACTGATTGCTTCCAAAGAATGGTCATTATTATTATTATTATTATTATTATTATTATAAATGTGCATACTGCCCTTCTTCGTCCATAGATCTCAGGGCAGTTCACGCCATAAAAATACAGTGGTGCCTCAGGTTACATACACTTCAGGTTACATACGCTTCAGGTTACACACTCCACTAAGCCAGAAATAGTGCTTCAGGTTAAGAACTTTGCTTCAGGATAAGAACAGAAATCACGCTCCGGCAGCATGGCGGCAGCAGGAGGCCCCATTAGCTAAAGTGGTGCTTCAGGTTAAGAACGGTTTCAGGTTAAGTACGGACCTCCAGAACGAATTAAGTACTTAACCCGAAGTACCACTGTACAAAATAACAACACAAAATTCATAATAAGAACAGTAACAAAGACGTGATGATGGCTGGAGGGTGAACAGAGAGTTAAACATAAGCAGCAGTGGTGGGTGGGCAGAAAAGGAACAAGAGGGTGTTTATACTGGTGTGAACTTGCCCAAGAGACTAGAGGCAGATAGCAGATTCAGCCCTTTCTGGGCTCCATGAGAGGGGAGAGAAGGCAGTTGTGGGTGGGGTGGGGACCCTTACCTCAAGGAATTCCCAAAGTGACGGCATCCCATTTTGGAAAAGTGCAACTGTTCTACTTTAGCTTTCTCCAAGAGAACAATTAGATGGACAGAAGGAGCCAAAAGGGAACTTAAGATGTATGCATACACACCACCACCTTTTACACCAGATTAGCCAAACACAACAGCCAGCCCGGTTCCAAATTTACCATTAACGGAAGCAGATTAGAATGACTAGGCAAGGGTGTGCCTTGGAAGAGATACCAAGTAAAAATTCCATCCTCTCACAGCTCTTTATGTTATTATTTTCCAGGGTGGCTAAAGTGCATAATGACACACATACAAAAATCACAATTGGTGTTGATCCAGATCGTACTTAAAATGAAGGAGTCCCATTGACCACAAGAGAACTAGCTTCCAAGTATCAATCAATCAATCAATCAATCAATATTATAATAATAATAATAATAATTTACTATTTATACCCCACCCATCTGGCTGGGCTTCCCCAGCCACTCTGGGTGGCTTCCAGCAGAATATTAAAATACAATGATTCATTAAATATTAAAAGCTTCCCTAAACAGGGCTGCCTTCAGATGTCTTCTAATAGTCCGATAGTTGTTTATTTCTTTGACATCTGGTGGGAGGGCGTTCCACAGGGCGGGCGCCACTACCGAGAAGGCCCTCTGCTTGATTCCCTGTAACTGGGAGCCAATGTAGGTCTTTTGGGACCAGTGTTATGTGGTCTCGGCGGCCGCTTCCAGTCACCAGTCTAGCTGCCGCATTTTGGATTAGTTGTAGTTTCTGTGTCACCTTCAAAGGTAGCCCCACATAGAGTACATTGCAGTAGTCCAAGCGGGAGATAACCAGAGCATGCACCACTCTGGCGAGACAGTCTGCAGGCAGGGAGGGCCTCATCCTGCGTACCAGATGGAGCTGGTAGACAGCTACCCTGGACACAGAATTGCACTGCGCCTCCATGGACAACTGTGAGTCCATTAGTGGGAACAGGGTTGAAGTATTCTGGGACAATGCAGATTACATGCTCCACTTTAGGAATAAACATTTACAGTGTAACCTTGGGTTAAGTACTTAATTCGTTCCGGAGATCCGTTCTTAACCTGAAACTGTTCTTAACCTGAAGAACCACTTTAGCTAATGGGGCCTCCCGCTGCTGCTGCCACGCCACGGGAGCACGATTTCTGTTCTCATCCTGAAGCAAAGTTCTTAACCCGAGGTACTATTTCTGGGTTAGCGGAGTCTGTAACCTGAAGCGTCTGTAACCCGAGGTACCACTGTATTAAGGGGAAAGAGTCCTACCCTCAACCCCTCCCATCACAAGGACAAGGACTCAGGCTGCAATCCTGGACAGACCTATGTGGGAGTGAGTTCAGTAGGGCTTACTTCCAAGTAGGCACACACAGGACTGCACTTTCCACATCGCAGAATGTGGATTTATCCCCAGTGGAGCATTTTTCAGCCACTCATCTCCACACCCTCTCCATTCATGCTTGCAGTGAGTGACGAGGGGAAATTTAATCCACATTCCTGGTATGAGTACAGACATAAAGTATACTCGTCCTGGATTAGGGAGTACAGGAAAACACACTTGGGCATGGCACTTAAGTGTGGCAAAGAGAAACAAATCCAGATCATTCTTTGGAATGCACCCCCGATCCTGCCATTTCCAGAGGGCGAGTGGGTCAGGGTGGGGCAGTTAAAATAAGACAAAAAATAGGGTGCGGGGCAAGCACAGTCCCACTAAATGCAAAGTGGGTAAAATAATAATAATATATTTTATTTATACCCCGCCCTCCCCAGCCAAGGCCAGGCTCAGGGCGGCTAACAAACAATAATAAAAACAAGCTGAATGAATACAACTTAAAAACAAGATTAAAATACAACATTAAAACATTAAAATCTGGCCCTTTCCTTGCAATGAAGCATCACAGTTTCTGTTTTTTTCCTTTGAGGGACAGGAGTCTTCTCTAGCATTCCCAAAAGTCTGGGAAAATGTATTGTTTTAAGTTTTAACTTGGTGTGCTTGTTTTATTTATTAAATTTGCACACCGCCCTTCCCCCAAAGATCTCAGGGCAGTTCGCAGCATAAAAAAAAAACCACAAAATAAAGATAATGAAAACAAAAACAAAACAAACCTGTAACAACAACACCCCCCCCCAAGATACTCACAGTTACATAGGCGGTTTAAACAAATACTAAACCATCCCTGCAGCGGAAGGCCATCGCCACATCTATTTTTTTGTGTCGAAAGTCATATTTATTGCTCAAAATGTCATATCTTCCTCTCCCTCCCCCCCCCCACCCACGACGGAGACCCCCAACAGGGACATGGGAGGGTTTTTTAGACACCCCACCTCGGAACTCTAAGGGCACAAACCTTCCCGGGAATGTGGAAGCGGCGAAGGAGCCAGCCCGGGCCTCCCCTCGCCGCCCCAGCGATCCCCCCGCACTCACCATCTTGCTCCCGCAACAGCCTTTCCCTCAAGTCCCTTCAGCAGCGCGGCCCCTTTAAGAGCCCCCGAGTGCCCTCCCCGGCTCCCTTTCAATCCGGCCTCAGACCCGCTCGGCGCGCATGTCCGTCCCGGCCCCCGAGCCAATCAGAGGCGCAGCTGGGCAGGGTTCGGAGGCGCCGCCTGAGCTACGGCGAGCGGAAAGTGCCAGTCCTTGTTAGCGTTTTCTTTTTCTTTCCCCCCCCTCCCACCCTCTCATGTGATTATCCTCCTCCAAGGCAGGCATCCGTCCAGCCGCCCACGCCTAGAGAGGCCCGAGACTGTGAAGGCGCCCCCGCGGCGTCCCCGGCCTCTCTCGCTAGCCCGGGGGCGGGGGCGGGCGGGGATTCTACTTCCTGCCCCCTCCCGCCTTGCCCGCCAGGAAGCGGCGTTGCCATGGCAACCAGAGGGGGGGCAGAGAGAGAAATAGAGAGAGAGAGAGAGAGAGAGAGAGAGAGAGAGAGAGAGAGACGTTGATAAATTTAAAACGCCGAGGTGGCTGACAAATAATAAAAGGCATAAGAAACTGAAACGCGACAGCCGCGTGTTTATTGGCAGCAGGTTTGCTGCAATCGAACAAACAAATTTTATTTTATTTTATTTTATTTATACATACATACATACATACATACATACTGTACATACATGCCACCCATAAATCTCAGGGCGGTTTGCAGCATAAAAATGCAAGAGGGAAACCTGAAACACATAATAAAAACAATAATAAAATAAACCTATAACGCACCTCCCCCAGGTGAAAGGTCAAAGAACCCCTGGAAGGTGAATTTCAGTCAAAGGAGACTACGGGCTGTGGCACTCATCTCCCACAAGCACACGTGTTAATTTTATGCATCACTTGGGAAGACAGGTACTGGAAGAAGACCAGTGTACTGGAAGAAGCAAAGCAACTCAGTACATAACAATCATCCATGTCGAAGCTGTTAAGTTGTGGGTGAACATGTCAGACGACACAGCGATTCTTTAAACAGCTCTTCTTTATCCAGAACAGAACTAGGCTGAGGAGCTCAGTCAGCCTGCTTATATAGAGCTCCAGAACAATGCAACTGTTGCCATTTTCTAAAACTATCCAATCACTGAAGGTCACTTTTCGATCCTTCATTTGCATATAAAACTATCCAATCACTGAACGTCACTTTTCGATCCTTCATTTGCATAACTATCTACAGTATCCCCCTGCTGGCCCAGGGTGAGAACTTCAGTACATAACAGAAGCAATGATTCTTCAACATCAACTTCGTTAGACTGGTCATGTTGTGCGGATGCCTGATTATCGTCTTCCAAAGCAACTACTCTATTCCGAACTTAAAAATGGAAAGCGTAATGCTGGTGGTCGACAAAGGAGGTTTAAAGACTCTCTCAAGGCAAATCTTAAAAAAAATGTAGTATAAACACCGACAACTGGGAAACACTGGCCTGCAAACGCTTCAGTTGGAGAACAGCCTTTCCCAATGGTGTCATGGGCTCTGAAGACACTCGAACTCAGGATGCAAGGGAGAAATGGGCTAAGAGAAAGGCATGTTTGGCAAACCCTCACCATGATCAACTCCCACCTGGAAACCGATGTCCCCACTGTGGAAGGACGTGTGGATCCAGAATTGGCCTCCACAGTCACTTACGGACTCACATTTAAAACCGTGTTTATGGAAGACAATCTTACTCGGCTACAAGTGATCGCCGAAGAAGAAGAAACAGCTAATAACAATAATTACCATTATATTTACATCACTCCTCTTTCCCTGACGCACACACATATGCATATACCCCCCCCCCAATAAAATATCAGTTGATAATACTGATTAGGTTAGAGGCTGGTGCTGGTAATGCCAAGGTTGCAGGTTCAATCCCCACATGGGACAGCTGCATATTCCTGCATGGCAGAGGGTTGAACTGGATGATGCTCAGTTCTCCTGAATGATGCCATGGCCTATGGCTAGTACAATAAAAAGTTTAATTGGTCTAATTGGATAGTGCTCAGGGTCCCTTCCAACTCTACAATTCTATGATTCTATGTTTCTCTTTCTTTCTTTCTTTCTCTCTCTCTCATACACAGGACTCAGCTAGACTGCTAAAGAAAAAGCAATTTACGTATATGCCTTGTATATACAGTGGAATTTGCTGCCAAGGAGTGTGGTGGAGTCTCCTTCTTTGGAGGTCTTTAAGCAGAGGCTTGACAACCATATGTCAGGTGTGCTCTGATGGTGTTTCCTGCTTGGCAGGGGGTTGGACTCGATGGCCCTTGTGGTCTCTTCCAACACTATGATTCTATGATTCTATATGCGATATAACATTGTGCCAACAACTACCAGACTTTTAGAAGACATCTGAAGGCAGCCCTGTTTAGGGAAGATTTTAATGTTTAATAGACTATTGTGTTTTAATATTCTGTTGAAAGTCGCCCAGAGTGGCTGGAGAAACCCAGCCAGATGGGCAGGCTATAAATAATTATTTTTTATTATTATTATTATTATTATTATTATTATTATTATTATTATTATTATTGCCACCAGATGGCGACGTGGAATCCCGGGTTTTTCCTCTACCTTTTTTCCCTGTTCAAATTCACAGCGCCTTAAAGTGAAACGCTTCTTCGATGTGTCCAGATCTGGCCACACACATTCCACCTGCGCTATCCATTTCAAGCGCTATATGACGCCCCGGCTTCCCCCGTGGAATTCTGGGAGCTGTAGTTTGTGAAGGGCTTGAGGCTCCGCCCCTCACGTACCGCGCAGCGTTTGACGGGGGGAGCGGAGAACGAAGGGCAAAGAGGAAGGGAAGAAAGGGCAGCTGCGGAGGCTTCGTTGGCCCCTGGCGGGCATGCGCGGGGTTCGTTCGCGCAGGCGCTGTGGGCCGACAACAAAGAGGGACTGAGGCGGCGGCGGCGGCGCCTCTTTCTCCCCGATGGCTGCCGCGTTCCTGGTGGCGCTGTACGAGTACTCGCCCCTCTTCTACATCTCCGTCGTCTTCATCTGCTTCCTGGTCACCAGCGGCCTGGTCATGGGCTGGTCAGTGGGGAGCGGGGTGGGGGGTCAGAGGTCACGGGGGAGGGGGGAGCAAGGAGGAGGGGGGTCCAGGGAGGGGAGGGGGCTTGGCTGGGGGGGGGGGAGAAATTTATTCCAGTGAATGGAGGGGGGTAAGCGGAAGATGGGGAGCTGTGGAGGGAGGGAGGCATATTATTATTATTATTATTATTATTATTACTAGTATTACTATTAATTTCTCTCCTCCCAGACAGAGACTCAAGGCGGCTTTCACAATTTGAAAGCAAACACAAATAAAACGGGGAAAGCCATAAAACGTATAGAAAGATAGTCGTTAGAGACGTAATAAAGCTCTAAGGAAAGTGGCTGGGGGGAGGATGCTGCTATAATAATAATAATAATAATAATAATAATAATACAACAACAACAACAACAACAACAACAACAACAACAACAACAATATTTATTCTTTATACCCTGCCCATCTGGCTGGGTTTCCCCAGACTTCCCCAGACTGGGTGGCTTCCAACAAAAGATTAAAAATACATTGAACCATCAGTCATTAAAAACTTCACTATACAGTGGTACCTCGGGTTACGGACGCTTCAGGTTTACAGACGCTTCAGGTTACAGACTCCGCTAACCCAGAAATAGTACCTCAGGTTAAGAACTTTGCTTCCGGATGAGAACAGAAATCGTGCGGCGGCAGTGGGAGGCCCCATTCGCTAAAGTGGTGTCTCGGGTTAAAAACAGTTTCAGGTTAAGAACGGACCTCCGGAACGAATTAAGTTCTTAACCCGAGGTACCACTGTACAGGGCTGCCTCCAGATGTCTTCTAAACATCAGATAATTGTTTATTTCCTTGACATCTGATGGGAAGGCGTTCCACAAGGCGGGCGCCACCACTGAGAAAGCCCTCTGCCTGGTTCCCTGTAGCTTTGCTTCTCGCAGTGAGGGAACCACCAGAAGGCCCTCGGCACTGGACCTCAGTGTCCGGGCTGAATCATGGGGCTGGAGATGCTCCTTCAGGTATACTATACCTGAGGGAGGGAGGCATATTATTATTATTATTATTATTTCTCTCCTCCTAGACAGAGACTCAAGGCAGCTTTCACAAATTGAAAACAAACACAGATAAAATGGGAAAAGCCATAAAACATGTAGAAAGATCATTGTTGGAAACGTAATAAAGCTCAAAGGGGATGACTGGCTGCTACATCTGGGAAAGTGGGGAGAGGATGCTATGTTGTGGTAGCAGAGATTATTGTTATTGTTCCGATACCTCCCTTTAGCTGAGGATCACGGGGTGGTTTACAATATAAAAACACAAAAATACATATTTATACCCTGCCTTTCCCCATGACAGGGACTTTCCCCATGACAGGCAGCTTAGAATCAAAAGTAAGAACAACTGAAAACATGGGAGGGGAAACAATAATTTAAAAGCAATTTTAAAATGATGCAATATATCTACACACTGACACGAATATATATAAATCTATGAAAGCCATACATTTAGTGCAGATGGAGGGACATACTATAACATTTAACATGAGCCCCACCTGAAGTGTCCAGGGACCTTGACCCTAGCCCACAATATGCTATGCCAGTCAAACTTAACAACAATCTTGTGAGTAGGATAATTTTGAGACTCACGTAGCTGTCTGCAGGGTTGGGTGAGGAAGAGCCCTCTAAATGGGTGTTAGGGGAGTAGAGTTTAGGAGGGATAGGAGCTGCTCAAAGCAAGGAGGCTGGGGGTACCGGTAAGTGGAAGGGATGTGCGCAGAACATGGAGGTGCACAAATTTTTTTTTCATTGCTGGGGGTGCGTGGATTGCATTTTTAACAGGAGGGAGCAAGTGATAGCCCAGCCCTGTGGTAAAATCCACACGCAGAGGGTCCATTTCATCGAGGAGCAAATACAACAGGGGTTGAAGATTGAGTTATTTTGTTTTAAGACAGTTGTTGCCTTTTGGCTGTACCTTCACCAGATTTGACTGTTGTTAATATTAAGCGTTTCTGTTGATTTCATTTTGTGCTGCTTAGGTTTGGGTGGGACGTTCCTGTGATTCTGAGAAATTCAGACGAAGCTGAATCGACTGTGAAAGTGTCCCAGAAACAGATGCGGCAGGTGAAAAACCCATTCAGCTTGGAAATCAAAAACCTGGAAACGGCTTCAGTTTCAAGTCAGTAGATTGTGTGTTTTGGTTGCTGTTCAAATTTTCTCTCCCCTCCCCCTCCCCTGCTATGCCAAGCGCCGGCTATCGATTCACCCGTAGCAACTATCCCTGTAAGACCCTTTTAACAGAAATGAGCTGACCCAGTTTAAGCTGGCCCCTGCAAAGAGATTATTGCTTCCTTGATCTGCTTGACTATATTTATTTCTTCTAGCATATGGTCATGCAGAGGAGATACACCGTGTACTGTGAACTGGCATCCTTGCTAATGTAGGTTTTACACTGTCAGTATGAGCGTGTCAGCATGAAAATGCCACTAATCTCATGGGTACCCGTGCTCTGTGCCAGAGGGATGACAGGATGCAGACACATTAACAGGGATCAGAGCAAAGGCCCATTTATTCGAGCATCCTGTTCTCAGAGACAAACAATCTAAGTGTGCTTTGAACTTAGTCTTGCTCAAAGAAGTTGCATGTTTTCTGAAGTTAAAAAGGTAAAGGTACCCCTGACCATTAGGTCCAGTCGTGAACAACTCTGGGGTTGCGCGCTTATCTCGCTTTACTGGCCGGGGAAGCCGGCGTTTGTCTGCAGCTTTCCAGGTCATGTGGCCAGCATGACTAAGCCGCTTCTGCCGATCCAGAGCAGCACACGGAAACGCCGTTTACCTTCCCACCGGAGTGGTACTTATTTATCTACTTGCACTTTGATGTGCTTTCGAACTGCTAGGTTGGCAGGAGCAGGGACTGAGCACCAGGAGCTCACCCCATCACGGGGATTCGAACCGCCAACCTTCTGATCAGCAAGTCCTAGGCCCAGTGGTTTAGACCACAGCGCCACCCGCGTTCCCCTTTATGAAGTTACTTTCTATGAAATAAAATTTTGGGCGCTCCTCACACATTCAAGTTTTCTGTGGTGGTCTCACCAAGTCTCTGACATCCAAATGGCAGACTGTTTATTTCCCCCATCTAATCTGGATTTACTGTTTACGGGGGAAATCCAGTAAAAAAAATAATTTTTTTTTAATCCATTGGCGATGACTTGTGTGTTACGTTTCAAAAACCTGATGGCAAATTCATCTGTTGTCTGGAAAAGCCCTTTCATCGCTTGAAGAAGAGCTGTCAAGGGACTTGGTGATTTTCATCAAAAATGATGCTTTCCCTGCTACATAGTTATTTGGAATTGATATAATGGGTTCCCCCCCAACCTTTGGACCTTTCAGTTTTCAAAACTCCTGTTTGTGACTCCATGTTCTTTTCTTTTCCCCCTCTTCATAAGATGGCATAACGCTGGTGCCTGATTGCCTGGAAGACTGCCTCCTTACGTGCTACTGGGGCTGCAGCGTGCAGAAGATCCACGAAGCTCTGCAGAAACATGCTTACTGCTTTCGAATAAAAACGCCACAGGCCTTTGAGGATGCAGTGTATGACGAGTATCTCTACCGCCAACAGTATTGGTATCCTTTGATCAGAGTTGCGTATCTTTGCTTTTGTAGAGCTGCAGAATGTTGAAAAGCTCTGCTTCTAAGCAAATCATCTAAAGCAGGTTTCTAGCCCCAATGGATCTAGCAAAAAATTGAGAAAGCCAGGAGAGGAGATTCCAGAGAATGGGTGTCTAGTGCCCTTACTGCCCATCAGTCTTCCTTCTATTTAAAATCAACAGCCTCATTATTTAGAATATAAACCTCATTATTAAAAGGTTTTGAGGTTCATTTTTCCTTTCACCTCTGTACAGGGTGAGGACAAGAGTGGGCTGCAGTTTGGAAGTCTTCCTTTTTGCTGCACATAGAAATGAGTGTGTAAATTGGAGAATTAACTTGAATGCAAGAATACCTTTTGGCTCTAGGTACTTAATTCTTTGGAAGCTGTCTGCCATAGCTCTCTTTCCTCTTAACTCGCTGCTTGGCTGCCACTAAACAGCTGATCAGCAGAACGTAAAGCAGCCCCTTTGGCCATTTGCCCTGCTACTACATGCACTGCTTCACTATCATGGAAAGCCGGTGGACATGCTTAACTATTGCATTCTCTTGGTTTGCTTTGGGGAAGATACATAGCTCAGTGGTAGAGGGTCTGCTTTGTATGCAAAAAGTCTCACGTTCAATCCATGGCAGCTGCCAATCATTGTCAACAGTACGGTACTAGATGGACCAATGGTTTGGTTCGATGCAAGACAGCTTCCTTTGTAGCAGTTGCACAATCAAAGGAGCAGGAAATCGATAACTCCTCCGTCTTTTGTCAGCCCTTGGGTGCTGATGGTTGTCTGCCATAACAAAGGTGGTCTAAACCAATGAGCCTCTTGGGTTTGCCGATCAGAAGGTTGGCGGTTCGAAACCCCACGACGGAGTGAGCTCCCATTGCTCTGTCCCAGCTCCTGCCAACCTAGCAGTTCGAAAGCACACCAGTGCAAGTAGATAAATAGGTACCGCTGCAGCGGGAAGGTAAACGGTGTTTCTGTGCGCTCTGGCGCTCGCCACAGTGTTCCATTGCGCCAGAAGCAGTTTAGTCCTGCTGGCCACATGACCCGGAAAGCTAGCTGTGGACAAACGCCGGCTCCCTCGGCCTGAAAGCGAGATGAGCGCTGCAACCCCATAGTTGCCTTTGACTGGACTTAACTGTCCCGGGACTCTTTACCTTTACCTTTGCCATAACAAATATAAATTCTAGTCCATAGTAACTTAGATCTTGCACTAAGAAAAGGCAAATTGTGATTGGGCCCAATTTTGTAAATAAAGCAGAGCCAGTGTGGTGTAGTGGTTAAGAGCGGTAGTCTCGTAATCTGGGTAACCGGGTTCGCGTCTCCGCTCCTCCACATGCAGCTGCTGGGTGACCTTGGGCCAGTCACACTTCTTTGAAGTCTCTCAGCCCCACTCACCCCACAGAGTGTTTGTTGTGGGGGAGGAAGGGAAAGGAGAATGTTAGCCGCTTTGAGACTCCTGAAGGGGAGTGAAAGGCGGGATATCAAATCCAAACTCTTCTTCTTCTTCTTCCATAACTCATTCTTGGTTTTTGCATCATTTATTCTCTCCATGCTAACCACAGGGAGTGGCAGTCATTCAGAGCACTGAGGCCATCTCCCTGTGGCTACTGGAAATCTTTAAAAGTGGGGGGGGGGACCCAAACCCTTGAGTTATTCAGGTATTATTATTATTATTACTACTATTATTTATTTATATCCTGCCCTCCCCAGCCGAAGCCGGGCTCAGAGTGGCTAACATAACACAGTTTACATAAAATCACAATCAATTAATTGAAATACATTCTAAAATCAATTCATTCTAAAATTAATTCAGAGTCAAATTAATGGCAACCATTGGGCTAGAGTTCTATGAGGATTACAGAAGGAGAGAGGGGGTCAGACTGTGCCTTGGCCAAAGGCCTGGCAGAACAGCTCCGTCTTGCAGGCCCTGTGGAAAGATGTCAAGTCCCGCAGGGCCCTAGTCTCTTGTGACAAAGCATTCCACCAGATGGGGGCCACAGCCGAAAAACCCCTGGCTCTGGTTGAGGCCAGCCTAACCTCCCTGTGGCCCAGGATCTCCAAGATGTTTATGTTTGAAGACCGTAAGGTCCTCCGTGGGACATTCCAGGAGAGGCAGTCCTGTAGGTATGAGGGTCCTAGGCTGTATAGGGCTTTAAAGGTTAAAACCAGCACCTTAAACCTGATCCTGTACTCCACCGGGAGCCAGTGCAGCTGGTATAGCACTGGGTGAATGTGATCTCGCAGCGAGGACCCTGTTAGGAGTCTCGCCACAGCATTCTGCACCCGCTGGAGTTTCTGGGTCAGTCTCAAGGGCAGCCCCACGTAGAGCGAGTTACAATAATCCAGTCTGGAGGTGACCGTCACGTGGATCACAGTGGCTAGGTCAGGGCGAGAGAGGTAAGGAGCCAACTGCTTAGCTTGGTGGAGATGAAAAAATGCCGCCTTTGTTGTAGCTGAAATCTGCGCCTCCATGGAAAGGGAGGTGTCGAAGATTACACCCAAACTCTTAACGGATGGTGCTGGCACTAATCTGATTCCTACTCTCCATGCAGTAAGTTCCTCTGAAGTCAGTGAGACTTTGGAATACACATGTATAGGATTGCCAAGACAGAGGCCAAACTTTGTAACAAATGCTAAATTCTGTGCTTGTAACAGATGGAACGCAACAGAGTTCGTCTGTGCCGGGCAAAGCCAAGTTTGATGCTAGATACATGAGTGCACCTTGAGCCTCAGCCTGTGCGCTACGTCCAAGAACATCTGTGGCACAAACATTGCATTTGTCTTTATTTGCGGTTCTGTTCCTTGACACAAACAAAGCATCAAGACATCTGACAAAGCGGGAAAGCACTGCCAGGTACCCGAAGAGACACAAATCATTGACTTTGGCCCCGTGCCCAGATCTCGGTACCCGCTAGTTGCACTGTTGACGCTGGAGGATGAAGGCAACAGAGAAATATATGACATTGTAGGTAACCTCTTTCTTGAGAAAAGGAACTGGGACAGGAGTTTGCTTTGAATTGTCTGTGAAAAATTGCCGTCGAACAGAGTTGGCAGGGGACTTGCTTTTGCTTTTTGTCATAGCTATTGGTGTGTCCTAACATTATTCCTTCTTTAAAATGACATCTCCTCCTGGATCCTTGGATTAGATAAGGGAAAAAAATTAGTTATTAGAGAGCTTGCCACATCCCACAGATTGAGAAGCTAGGTCTGTTTTAGTCTGCTGGAAATAGTCACAAAGTTCATTACCCATCACTTCACATGCATAAGTTTTACCTGGGTGGACCTGAAATTTGGGCAGGCAATTAATGAAGTTGAACTGGTTTACTTAATTGGCCTTAGTATAAGGCAGAATTACTACCATCGGGGATTTCACTAGACTCAGAGTAGGAAACCTGATGGCTGCAATGATTTCTATATGAAGAAATAAAATGAACGTTGTATAGTTCACTTTTAAAAGCATCCACTCTGAGGTGCTTTTAAAACAAAACAAACCTTTAGATACAGTTGCATTCTATTTGGAACGCTTTTATAATTGTAATGATTTTATTCGTTTCTGTAACTATCGTATATCATTGTAACCATTTCTGGGACTTTATGTTAAAATCTTACTAGTGGTTAATAAATCTTTTGAGATTTATCACTAGCCCATAAAAACAGGCAACCTAAACAAAGACGTGCAGCAGCAAATAAAATCAATAATTAAGACCAGCCATTAAAATTGAGGAAGGAATTTTGCCCCTCCGCTTAAAATGATGTAATATGAAAGACCGCGTATAAATTTCAGTGCTCTGTTTCGGGGTGGGTATGTATGTGCTGTGTAATATATTAGTAAAAATGATGGCTGTATGGCAGGACGAATATTGGAATCTGAACCCAAAGTGATCAAGGCAATTCTATACAAGATATGGGTATTAGCTCCTTGGAAATGACGATTAAGGATTGTTCGATTATTTCATCATCTACAATGCCTTGTTTTTAAGTTCTTCACAGTTGGGTTGGATGTTGTTTGAACAATAAGCAGCATAGAATTCAAATGTTTTCTTTTCTTTTCATAGGTTTCTATGGTATCTATCATTCACGTTACTGATGACAGTTACAGGCTTTCCTGTCGAATACTGTATCAGTATCTCCTCATGGCCCAGGGTCAATTTCATGATCTAAAGGTAAGCTTTGGGATTTGCGGTTTGTTTTACATCTTAAAAGTGGCTAGAAATAACTGCCTCAGTTTGCATCAGGCCAGTTGCCCACCCTGTCCAATATTAACACTATTGAGTAGCGGCAACTCTCCAGAGACTTAGGCAGATCATTTCCTAGGACCACTAACACCGTTCTTCTAACTTGGAGACGCTTAGGCTTGGGTGTAGAGCAGGGTGCCCCTGGGTAACCGATCTGTGCATTTTCCTCTAGTTTATTTCTGCAACCCAGAAATGCCAATTCCGTAACTGCAGAGTGATCAAAACGCATTTTTGCAAATGCAGTTGGTTGCAACGCAGGTATGCAGCAGAACGAGATGAGATAATGGACTGTAGGTGACTCGTCACATTTTTGAATTCTCCCCCTTTGTAAACCACTACCTGCAAGTAAAAAAATATAAAACAAATCATCATAATTTTATTATTTATACCCCGCCCACCTGGCTGGGTTTCCTCAGCCACTCTGGGAAGCTTCCAGTAAAACAGAAAATCACAATAAAACCTTGAACGTTAAAAACTTCCCGATACAGGACTTGCCTTCAGATGTCTTCTGAAAGTTGTGTAGTTCTCTGTCTCCTTGACATCTGATGGGAGGGTGTTTTATTAGTAATAAAATAAAATTATAATCTCCTTAGGAAGATTTTGGCCTTGGTCTCCCTTGCTTCCTGTTTGTAGCTTTCCACTTGCACGATCCTTTCCGCATAGGGGAACACTTAAAAAATAGTATTGCCTACATGCAAACTGAAGTGGTGCAGGCTGTTTCTATTACATAATCCTACTGTGCATGGAGGCCAAGTTACTTTTCTCTTGCTAGAAACCTGGGAAAATTTGGAAAATGTTATATACATGCATGATGCAGTTTTTTAAAGCACAATTTTGTAAGCAGTGTGAACCCCCTTCTGGGACCTCTCTAGGTTAGGAGCCCTGAAGCTTAAGTTTCATAGCAGAGTCTCCCCATGGCATATTTTGAAAATGCCCATGGGCTGCAAAACATGGAAGACCCGGTGTCAGGCATGGAGAGTCCTCCCCTCCCTTTGGTAACTTCACAGATAAGAATTAGCGAGCAGTTGGTAGATTTATAGTCCTTTTATTACAGCGTCATGTTGCAAGCACAAGCACACAGCTCTCCGCAAGGAGGGCAGTTGGCTAGTCTAATCTGACTTCCGCAGCATTTTAGGCACCAATGGGAAGTTCCTCCCTCCCTCCCTCTGACTCCTTTCCTCTCTGATACGTTTGGACCTCCGAGTCCGTGGTGAGGGGGGTGTCCCCCACACTCAAGGGACGTCTCAACTAGCTGCCCCCTCCCTTCCGGTTCTGTTGTCATTATCTCATAACTGAGTAACTCCTTCCTAAGCCGTTCAGCTTCTGTCTCTCTCTCTGCTTCTGATCATGCTGTGGACAAGGGGTGGGGGTGGTGGCGACTATTCCCCTTCCAGCTCTCCATCAGAGAGAAGTTGGTCTGCCATAGAATACATTCCCCAGTCCTTGTCTTCAGACCTCCCCCTGACACCTGGGCAGTGAAACACACTCCGTGTTTGTGTGCATGTGTGTGTTGCTTTCAGTACTCTTAACATATTGAATTTCCCACTGGCCCCCCCAATTGCTTCACCCTTCACCTCTCATTTTGCTTTGGGGGTTCAGCTGAAAAACCCCACCCCCATTTGACCAAGCCACCACAGTGAAACGAAAGGAGATTGTCTCTAATATTAATGGAACCCGAATGCTACAAAATGGCTTGGACTTAGTAGGCATAGCATGAAGTATCATACGGTTAATGAGTCTATTTTGCAAGACTACAAAGAACATACCTTTTTCCATCTTATTTTTTTAAAGAATCAAAACTAAAGCAAGTTTTCTTGGATTTGCTGAAAACCTTTTCAACAGTTCCTCCTTTTTCCCAATGAAGTTTTTCTGCGCACACTCAGTAAGCCTAGCCCATTGGTAGGCAAACTAAGGCCCAGGGGCCAGATCTGGCCCAATCTCCTTCTAAATCCAGCCCGCGGACGGTCCAGGAATCAGCATGTTTTTACATGAGTAGAATGTGTCCTTTTATTTAAAAATGCATCTCTGGGTTATTTGTGGGGCATAGGAATTTGTTCATTCCCCCCCCCCAAAAAAAATAGTCTGGTCTCCCACAAGGTCTGAAGGACTGTGGACCGGCCCTCTGCTGAAAAAGTTTGCTGACCCCTGTACAGTGTTATCTTGGGTGAAGAACTTAATTCGTTCTGGAGGTCAGTTCTTAACCTGAAACTGTTCTTAACCTGAAGCACCACCTTAGCTAATGGGGCCTCCTGCTGCCGCACGATTTCTGTTCTCATCCTGAAGCAAAGTTCTTAAGCCGAGGTACTATTTCTGTGTTAGTGGAGTCTGTAACCTGAAGCGTCTGTAACCCAAGGTACCACTGTATTGTGCCTAAACATTTGTCTGTTTTCTCCCTGCCTCTTCCCGTTCCCAACCCCTAGCAACTTTTCATGTCTGCCAACAGCAACACCTCATCTCTAAGCAGCCCTCCCTCGGGTGACAGGACAGAGGACCGCGTCCTCCTTGAGAAAGCCGGGCTGGCTGAGGACGAGGCGGACCTGCCAGATGAAAACAGCAAGGACTGCATCGTCTGCCAGAACAGGGCTGTCAACTGGGTGCTCCTCCCTTGCCGGCACACCTGCCTGTGTGATGAATGCGTGAAATATTTCAAGCAGTGCCCAATGTGCCGGCAGTTTGTTGGGGAGTCCTTTCCCCTGTGCGGCCGAAAAGAGTGAAGAACTGGGGGCGAAAGGACAGAGCGTGTGTACTTTTATCCAGGCAGAAAGAGAGGAGAAATTCATGTAAAGAGTTGACAAGATGAGTTTGGACCTTCTGGAATAGTACCGAAGACCTTCCCTTCCACTTGAACTTTGGTGGCTGGTTGTCTGGCCAGCTCTAAAGCAAGGTTGGCACTGTCAGCATTGCCCTTGAGCCAGTGCCACCAACTGGACTCACACACTTCAGCCCTGACTGGGCTAGGCGAGCTGGGTAGCACTTCCAGAGACCACCTTCTCCACAGGAACTGGTCAAAGTGCTGTGGACTCACAGCTTAGAGTTGTGAGCACCGGATTCACTCCAACAAGAAGACAGTCATCGCACAGCAGAGTATAGCAGAGCATAAACGACTCGGAGAGCAGCTCTGTAGAATATCTTCTTTATTCTGTCTACAACTATAATACACAACTATGTACAGAGCTAAATGAGGTCTAAACGAAAATGCTGAACTGCACTGAGTGTCTGCAGCTGCTCTTAGCAGCAACCTTATCTATACACATGATCTCTCTCTAACACTCAGTCTCTCTCTCTCTCTTTGATGTGAGGCTGGAGCGAAATAAGTAGAGAGCAGAAACCGCCCCCTCCTCTCTGGAGAATCAGCAGAGAACATCAGCAGATTCTTGGATATGGGAGGGGTGAAATCTCAGGCACCTTCCCTTAGCAGTGGATTTGATTTGGAAGCAACGGCGATGCTAAGGCTCGGTTGCACTGCTGCCTCTGCCTCCCGCAACAGTGCAAACAGTGTAATGCCTGTGCGCATTACAGGCAGAAACAGTGCTTTGAGCTCTGTAGAAAGGATATCTCTTTGTATGTGCACATAAATTTATTGGGTATTTTCACGACACTTTTCACCGAGAAGTTTCTCTCGACAGACTGATGTGGAGAAAGAGGAAATATCCCCTGAGAACACTTAATTTGTATTTATGTTCTTGTGTGTGTGTTTTAAATTGCTGTCAGCCTGGTTTTCTACTTGATAGTAATGCTGCTCTTTTCAGTTGCAGCAAGTGGGGGAGGGCAGAAGCAAAGAAATAAAATATAGAAAGAGTTTTCCTTGCAACTCTTCAGTAGGTCCACATATATTTTGTGTACTGTATCTCCTTGCGTCTGGTGTAAGCTGGGCAGTGAAGACTCGGGAGTCACTGGCAAGAATTTCAAAATGCTTGGGAGCATGCAAGACTTCATATGCAGAGATTTGTTAATGCATGCGTAGTGCCAGATGTGAGTTGTCCCACCAATGACGAAAGTCTCCAAAGGGCAGTAATGACACAAAGGTGACATTGGTTGAAGATGAGATCCTGTTTTTGTTTGTTTTTGAGCACGGGACATTAGGTTGCCTGGGCAACTGCAGATCAGATCCGCTTTAAAGATTAAAGATCTTATGGAGTTCCTGTCCAATATGATTATTGTTTCCCAAGTCACAGTCCCTGCATAGGTCTTTAAAGCAGGTGTGGAAGACTTCTTTCCCAAAAGGGCTGCATTCCCTCGTTGGCCATATTCTTGGTACCACATACTGGGGGTGGGGCCAGTGGCAGAATGCCAGTATGCGCAGAACCCCATGGATGTGACTCCAGCCTTTGTATATAGTGGGTTGCAGTCTAACCATGAAGAAGTGGGCAGTTTCCACCCATGTGCCCCCTTTCCATCTTCCTTGCAAGAGTCATTTTTGCAGTTTGGCTGCCCACCATTTTTTATGTTGCATTTCAAAATGCTGTAAGCTGCCCTCGGACCTTAGTCCCAAAGGCTAAATAGGGGCGCATTTAGTCCCCATGCTTGCAGTTCTTCACCTCTGTTTTCAAGTAATAAAATCAGTACCCTAGAAAACATCCTTTAACCATACTGCCAGATCCCTTAGAACTTAAAACGATGTGCTTCCGGGGGCTTTTTGTAACCTTCAGTCCAGGGCTGCTAGCTCTACACTTTATCCAAGACTTCTATTTCTACTTTAAGCCAAGCTGTTGTGGGCATCTGTCTGCCTCGAGAGACGGTGGAGTGTATCTCTGGGAGTGAAGTCAAACAGCTGTGGCAGCACTGAAGTGACCTCCTTGGGGCGCAAGCCTGGGCAGTGGGTCTGGAAGTCTTGGGGTGCCCAGACAATGAGATCCCCCTCCTGGCCTTGCTGATGTGGTCCAAAGGAAAGCAGAGCAAGGCATTTTGCACCAGCTTGGTGTCAGGAGTTGGCCTTCTGGCAGTTCCCTCACTGCGAGATGTGAGGTTACAGGGAACCAGGCAGAGGGCCATCTCGGTGGTGGCACCCACCCTGTGGAACGCCCTCCCATCAGATGTTAAGGAGATAAACAACTATCTTACTTCTAAAAGGCATCTGAAGGCAGCCCTGTTTGGGGAAGTTTTTAATGTTTAATGCTGTATTGTGTTTCTAACATTCGGTTGGGAGCTGCCCAGAGTGGCTGGGGAAACCCAGCCAGATGGGCAGGGTATAAATAATAAAATTTGATTTTTATTTATTTGCATTGTGCCACTGCCCACCTCCCCAGTATGTGGTAGCTGGAAAATTGCCCACGAGGAAATCTGGCAGGAAAGGCTCTCCACACCTTCTTTAAAGACAAAAGCAGAGACTGCATTGGGAGACAATCACTGTATTGGACAGGAACTGCGTAAGACTGCAAGGCGTGCAAATCTGCTATTATGATTCCTTAGTGAGGCAGAAATCATCATCATCATTGTGTGTGTGTTTGGCTTGTAGTTCCTTGCCCTTGGTAGCATGCCCACATGTCAGGTGTCACCAGCTGCTGATACAGCCCTATCCATCTGCCATTTCAGCAGCCTCTTGGGGCTGCACCTTAGCTGTCGACGTCTAGGCTCAGGAAACGGCTCCTTGCTTGCAACATGGCATGAGAGAATGAGCCGCAGCTCCTCCAACAGATGGCTGCCGTCATGTTGGCAAGGCAAGGTTTCATGTTTGCGTAATTAGTCGCATGTCATATTGAAAGGGAAGGCCTGTTTGCATGCAAGAGACCTTCACATGGTTCTTGGAGTTAAGAGGCAAACTTGTTTGGGGGAGATGCGGCTTCTTTCCAGTTGCTCTTGAAACAAATGTCGACAGGGCTAAGAATAATAATAATAATTATTACTTATTTATTCATTCATTCCCGCCCATCTGGCTGGGTTTCCCCAGCCACTCTGGGCGGCTTCCAACAAAAGATTAAAAATACATTAAAACATCAGACATTAAAAACTTCCCTAAACATAGCTGCCTTCAGGAAATAAGGTGGCAAGAAGTTGTCAGTCGCGCTCCCATCATGGAGGTTTATATGATAGGCTTCCAATAATAATAATATTTTTTTTTTCTTTATATCCCGCCCTCCCCAGCCGAAGCAGGGCTCAGGGCGGCTAACAGCAATAAAATAGTACAACATTCTAAAATCAGTTCAGTATAAAATGAATTCAACTCAAATTGATGGCAACCATTAGGCTAAAGTTCTATGAAGATTGCCAGAGGAGGGAGTCAGGCTGCGCCCTGACCAAAGGCCTGGTGGAACAGCTCTGTCTTGCAGGCCCTGCAGAAAGATGTCAAGTCCCGCTGGGCCCTAGTCTCTTGTGACAGAGCGCTCCACCAGATTGGAGCCACAGCCGAAAAAGCCCTGGCTCTAGTTGAGGCCAGCCTAACCCCTCTGTGGCCTGGGACCTTCAGGATGTTCCAGTGACACCTTGCCGTCCCCTTGAAATAAGACAGCGTTTGGGGATGCAGCTCAGTAGCAGAGCATATGCTTTCCAGGTGCAGTATCCCGTCGGATCTCCAGTTAAAAGGGTGAAGAAGAGGACTTCTGCAAGAATGCCTAGATAGCTACTGCCAGCACCTCTCGGGTGGGTGCCATTGCCATTCTAAGAGAGGGAGGCATTCACAGGGAGTTCTGGCATCTCTTTTTCTGGGATATGCCACCAAAGCTCCCTTCTTGTGGTTTAGTCGTGTCCTACTCTTCGTGACCCCCTGGACCAGAGCACGCCAGGCACTCCTGTCTTCCACTGCCTCCTGCAGTTTGGTCAAACTCATGCTGTAGCTTCGAGAACACTGTCCCACTATCTCGTCCTCTATCATCCCCTTCTCCTTATGCCCTCCATCTTTCCCAACATCAGGGTCTTTTCCAGGGAGTCTTCTCTTCTCATGTGGTGGCCAATGTCTTGGAGCCTCAGCTTCAGTCGATTCAGTCCTTCCAGTGAGCACTCGGGGCTGATTTTCTTCAGAATGGATAGGTTGGATCTTCTTGCAGTCCATGGGACTCTCAAGAGTCTCCTCCAGCACCATAATTCAAAAGCATCCATTCTCCAGCAATCAGTCTTCTTTATGGTCCAGTTCCCACTTCCATACATCACTACTGGGAAAACCATAGCTTTACCTATACGGACGGCAAGGTGATGTCTCTGCTTTTTAAGATACTGTCTAGGTTTGTCATTGCTTTTCTCCCAAGAAACCTGTCTTCCCAAGTGATATGTAACATTTTTCTCAGGCACCATGGATGGAATCTTTCAAGGGGTTGGAGATGGCGTTTATAAGTGGTCCATGTTTCACAAGCATACAGTAAGGTTGGTAGTAAAATAGCTTGGTAAACCAGCATTTTTGTTTCCCTGCAAATCTCATGGGCCTCAAACACTCAGCACTTCAATCGGGAGAAAGCTGCACTCACAGAGCTCAGGCAATGCTGGATTTCAGCATCAATGTCGCCCATTGTGGCAAGATAAATGCCCAGGTAGGAGAAGTGATCAACACTTTCCAATGTTACTCCATTGAGTTGAATTTTTGTAAGCTTCTGCAAAGTTATTTAGGATGGTTTGGAGGTCATCCTCTCAGTGTGCACACACTACGTTGTCATCAGCATATTGAAGCTCTATGATAGAATTTACAGTAACCTTACTCTTTGCTTTCAACCTACACTGATTAAAGAGCTTTCCATTTGTTCGATATATGATTTCTACTCCGGTGGGGAGCTTCCCATCGACAAAGTGTAGGATCATGGCGATGAAAATAACAGAGTTGGGTGATAACATGTCCCTGTTTAACACCTGATCCCGGTGTGAATGGTTCACTTTGAGAGCCATTGTTTTCTGCGACTGTTGCTGTCATATTATCATGGAGGAGCCGAAGGATGTTCGCAAATGGATCTGGGCAGCCGATTTTCAGAAGGACAGTCCACAGGGCAGTGTGATTTACAGTGTCGAAGGCCTTAGTCAGGTCAGAAACTGGTAATGGGGACAGGACCGTGAAATTGGTCCAGTTACCTCATTACCATCTACACTTTCCAGGATTTCAGACTAGGGACACCCCAGCCCTATCAGGAGATATCGGAGATGGAAACATTTGCTCTACCACTGAGCCAGTTGCCATCTCATTCCACAACCTGTATTTTGCAAGGGCCAAGAGTGCCAGACAAGGACAAGAGTGACGCAGGTCCAAGAAACCAGAAGCCTTCCTATTGGGTATTGCAGGTAGAGAAATACAGAAGCAAGTTAAAACATTGTTTTTGTATGCAACAACTGCAGCAAGAATATTATTGGCCCAATAATGGAAACAGGAAGAGATCCCAACAAAAGAAGAGTGGCGGATGAAGTTAATGGATTATGCCAAGTTGGCGAAACTAACCGGGAAAATTTGGAACCAGCGGGACCAGACCTTTCTGAAAGACTGGAATGAATTTACGTTGTATTTGAGAGACAACTGTAAACAATTGACATCGTTAGTAGGGCTACAAGAAGCTTTTTAAGGTTAGAAATATCAGTTAATATCAATATGATGTTTAAATGTTGTATTTAAGATTTGGATTTAAGGGTAATAATAATAATAACAACAAAATGCTATATCAGAGCATAATTAGGAAAACCATTAGTTGAGGAGGAGGGAAGTCTCAGACCAAGATGTCTTTGTATATTATATGTAAGATGGATGTTTTGTCAAAAAAATATTTATAAAATTAGAGAGAGAGTGACCCAGGTTGAAATCCCAACTTGGGCATAGAATTTGGCAGCCTAAGCTATCCTGCAGGAATTCTCAAATACGGCACTGTGATTCTGATAGTTGCTCACTAGATGGCACTTTCTTCTTAGGAGAGCAGCCATAGTTTCAAATGTGCACTTGACATCTGCAAGCAAAAGGCCACAAAGTTTCAAAAGAGCTCGACCTGTCTCCTTCGCTTTGTGAGGTTCCTCTAGGCTTTTCCCTGCCTTGCAGCCACCTCCCATCTGTTAAAGGAACTTAAGACGATCCCATTTAGTTGCTGATATCCCCTGTCTCGGGAGACAATGGAGGGTGAAGCCTTTAGGGATGAAGTCGAACTGTTGGAGAGTTACAGCACCTGCTGTGGCTGTAGAAACCAATGTGGGAGAGACATGCTTTGTTGCAGCTTGGGCAGATGAAGGCGTCCTGTTGGGCTGCTGCAGATGCACTAAGGAGTTTATTCTCTCTGCGCTCCTCCCAGCGGTCATTCCTCCCCTGGTCACTGCTGTAGATGCACAACCTGACTGTCCATCTCCAGGCACTGTGGTCATCTGCAAGGGATTCCCGCAAAGCCGGGTTAATGTTGCCAGCCTTCATGTCAAGTTTGCAGACATCCTTGTAACACAGAGTTGGTCTGCCAGCGGGCCTGGTGCCTGAAGCAATCTCCTCGCAGAGCCCGTCCCTGGGGATCCTGCCATCTTCCATTCTGTGGACCAAGCAAGCCAGCGTAGACGTCGCTGAGACATTCCTGCTGGGAATGTGGGCTCGGAAGAGCACATCGTTTGAGACTCTCCTGCCATGTGATGTCCCAAATTGTCCAGGTCCTGTGTGAGTGACTGGAGGCGGTTGGAGGATGGATGGCGGCTAATGGATTGAGGTTGAATCCTGACAAGACAGAAGTACTGTTTTTGGGGGACAGGGGGCGGGCTGGTGTGGAGGACTCCCTGGTCCTCAGTGGGGTAACTGTGCCCCTGAAGGACCAGGTGCGCAGCCTGGGAGTCATTTTGGACTCACAGCTGTCCACGGAGGTGCAGGTCAATTCTGTATCCAGGGCAGCTGTTTACCAGCTCCATCTGGTACGCAGGATGAGACCCAGGATGAGACCCTCCCTGTCCGCGGACTGTCTCACCAGAGTGGTGCACGCTCTGGTTATCTCCCTGCAATGGACTACTGCAATGCGCTCTACGTGGGGCTACCTTTGAAGGTACTCGGAAACTACAACTAATCCAGAATGCAGCAGCTAGACTGGTGACTGGGAGCAGCCGCCGAGACCACATAACACCGGTCTTGAAAGACCTACATTGGCTCCCAGTACGTTTCCGAGCACAATTCAAAGTGTTGGTGCTGACCTTGAAAGCCCTAAACGGCCTCGGTCCAGTATACCTGAAGGAGCATCTCCATCCCCATTGTTCTGCCCAGACGCTGAGGTCCAGCTCCGAGGGCCTTCTGGCAGTTCCCTCCCTGCGAGAAGCCAAGTTACAGGGAACCAGGCAGAGGGCCTTCTCGGTAGTGGCACCCGCCCTGTGGAACACCCTCCCAGCAGATGTCAAAGAGAAAAATAACTACCAAACTTTTAGAAGACATCTAAAGGCAGCCCTGTTTAGGGAAGCTTTTAATGTTTAATAGATTATTGTATTTTAGTGTTTTGTTGGAAGCCGACCCAGCCAGATTGGTGGGGTATAAATAAATTATTATTATTATTATTATTATTATTATTATTAGTCACCCTCGTCTGCACACCTTCCAGCTTGTCAATATCCTTCTTAAATTGCGGTGCCCAGAACTGGACACAGTATTCCAGGTGTGGTCTGACCAAGGCAGAATAGAGTGGGACTGTTACTACTGCTTTGGTTCGGTTATATAAAACAATGGGCACCATAAAGAAAATAAGTGGGGAGTGGGAAATGATAGAAGATCAAATATTAGGTTAAATAGAAGTTTCTTAATCCTACTTGTAGAATAGATTGTGTTTTAAAGAAATGCATTCTGAATCCTAAAATACCATTCATGGGGGAGCGGGTAATTGATGTATATATTTAAACTGTAATCCATATCACTTTTGTAAAACGGTTTGGAATGAAAGATAAAAATTAGAAAACCAAAGGCTACTTGTTAACAATGGCTCAGTAGGTAGAGCATGAGACTCTTAATCTCAGGGTTGTGGGTTTGAGCCCCATGTTGGGCAAAAAGATTCCTGCATTGCAGGGGGTTGGACTAGATGACCCTCAGGTCCCTTCCAACTCTACTATTCTCGCAGTGTAGGAATCACAGATAAATAATCCCTGATAAATGGGCATAGAAGCTCTGCTTAGAAATCTCCAAGGAAGGAGAGCCCACCAGCTTCCAAGGGAGTCCGTTCCACTGTGGTTTTTTTTGTTTGTTTGTTTGTTTAAATTGAATTCTGATTGTATAGGTTTTTTATTATTATTAAAGATTTTCTTGTTTTACAGAAGTATGTGTAATGTCTCTCATATTTTTTCCATGTAACATTTTTACAAATCAGTTTTATTTGTTGAGACATAGGGGTGGAGGGGGGGAAGATGGGTGGGGGTCGGGTGGCGATGTTTCTATTTTGCTTAATGTATGTAGGGTTTGGTGTCAGCGTTGCTCATGCTGTTCACTTGTGTTCCTTTGGTGGTGAGAGAGTTTGGGGTTGGCCTAGGGTGAGGTTATTCATTTGTGGTTGGCTGTGGTGGTTTGTTTTCATGTGTGAGTGAGGTGGGTGGGTGTTTTGGATCAGGTTAGCCATATTGATTTGTATGCTGTTGGTGGATTATTGTCATTGTCTTGTTGGGCTGTGTATGTGATAAAGGGGAGCCATACCGGGGTGAAGGCGTCTTCTTCTGTTTGTCCCCGTGTCAGTTTCAGTTTATTGGTTAATTTTTCTAGTAAGGCTGTTTCCCATACTATTTGCTACCATTGGTCCATCCTTACTCCTGACAGGTCTCTCCAATGTCTGGTTATGGTGTTTCTGGCTGCTGAAAGTAGGTGGGTTATGAGTTCTTTGTGGTGTAAATGGGCCTTGTTGTCTTGGAAGAAGTCCATTCCACTGCTGAACAGCTCTTACTGTCAGAAAGTTCTTCCTGGTGTTTGGTCAGAATCTCATTTCTTGTCATTTAAATCCAGTGCAGATATGGATTTAGAGGAGCATGAGCTGTTTGGTCGCACTGGGCACAAAGCCTCAGGGGCATTGCGACTATGATGCAGAATGGAAGGCAAGAGGCCGGTGGCACCAAATTTTGGCATCGCATAAACAACGGCTGCCAGGGTAGTGGCTGGCACTAAATGGAAATCTCAGGACACACCAACAAAGGAAGAGTGGATTTGTAAATTAAGTGAGTGTATAGAATTGGCAAAATTAACTTCAGCTATAAGATATCAATCAAATCAAAAGTTAAGAATGGAGTGGAAGTATTTCGAAGATTATATGTCAAAATATTATTCTAAAAATGACATGCTAATAGGCTTAGAATAAAAAAATGTAAGCAATAGCAAAACCAGTAAAGAAAGAAGGAAAAATCAGAATTTAACAAAAATAATTTATTATAGGATGCAAGGGGGGAAAGGTAGAAAGAAATAGAAAGAAGTCGAATTGCTGTGGAAGGAAGTAGAGGGTGGGAGGTGGGTTTTATAATTAAGTGTATAATTATGCAGCTGTTGTAATTTAGATATTATATTTTATGTGAGGGAATTATTGGGAATTTTGGTTATTATGTATATATGTTAAATTTCAGTAAAGATCTTTGGGGGGGGGAAACAAATGAATTTTGGCGTTGCGCGGGTCCGCCATTGTCCATTCGTTCAGGTCCTGCTCTCTGGAGTGGCAGAAAACAAGCTTACTCCATCTTCCACCGGGCAGCCCTTCAGATATTTGAAGGCATCTATCAGAGGAGGTGAAGAACCCTGTGGCCGTCCAGATGTTGATGGATTCCAACCCCCACCGTCCCTCACCACTGGCTAGGCTGGCTGGCGCTGATGGTTGCCATCCAACCACATCTGGAGGTCCCCCATGGCTGGAGCAAAGAACATCCCTTAATGGCCTGGAATCTCTCTCTCCGCCTTTGGAATGCAACCCCCATCAAAGCTAGTCAAAAGGGGAAAGTTTGCAGGGAGTCTGCATCTGGGGACTTGGAGAGACCCTGAGAGCTAGGCTGAAGGGGAAAGCACCCTGGGGTGCTGTAGTGCCATTTGATGCAGCCATCTGGGTTTTGACAGCTGTTAGAATGGGGAGAGTAGTGATGTATGGAAGTGAGAGCTGGACCATAAAGAAGGCTGGTCACCGAAGAATGGATGCTTTTGAATTATGGTGCTGGAGGAGACTCTTGAGAGTCCCATGGACTGCAAGAAGATTAAACGTATATATTCTGAAGGAAATCATCCCTGAGTGCTCACTGGAAGGACAGATCCTGAAGCTGAGGCTCCAAGACTTTGGCCACCTCATGAGAAGAGAAGACTCCCTGGAAAAGACCCTGATGTTGGGAAAGATGGAGGGCACAAGGAGAAGGGGACGACAGAGGACGAGATCGTGAGACAGTGTTCTCGAAGCTACCAGCATGAGTTTGACCAAACTGCGGGAGGCAGTGGAAGACAGGAGTGCCTGGCGTGCTCTGGTCCAGGGGGTCACGAAGAGTCGGACACGACTAAACAACAGAAAGGGGAGGCGTTCCCTCCTCTCCTACCGCTGCTCAGGAAGTTCCCCTTGCTCGGAGAAGTGGGGAACGACCCTCCGCAGGAGACTCTCCGCCGCAGGCATTTCCCTGGCGCGCCGTGCCAAAAACCTGGACGGCGTTTGCTCTCCGGGGCGCGCAGGTTGGGGGTCCTCGGTTGCAACGCCATTCTTCCCACCTACCCGCCGCCGCCGAGGAGCAGCCTCGATCTGCAATGCAGCAGCTTTAAACGGGCGGCGGCGGGGGGTGGGGGGTGCGCGCGTGCAAGGCTCCTCCAGCGCCTTTCCGCGGACGCGTAGCGAACTCCGGCCGCCAGGTCGCGCCTGCTTGCAAGGCCAGGTCGGTTGCCAAAAAATAAGGAACACCCCACCCGTTTCCAGCTCAGAGACACCCCCCAACCTGTAGGCACGCAGGCAGGGCGGAGATGCCTTTGGAGACGTTGCAAAGGGGCAGCCTTGCTGGCTTATTTTATTGCATTTTTGCACCAGCCCCCCCCCTCCCCAAAACCACCCCATTGCATGCATGCAAGCAGGCATCTTTTGCAGCGCGCGCCGTGCGCCTCGCCTGCGGCTGAGTCAGCGGCGGAGGAATGCGAGGGGGAGGGCGAGCAGGAGGCGCCGCCCCCCCCGGCCGCTCCTCGGGGGAGGGGGCGTTGCGCCTCTCGGCGGCCATGACGTCATGGCCTATGCAAATGACCCTCCGGTGGGGAGCGGGGGCTCCGCGGGGCGCGCGGCTCAGTCGCGCCGAGGAGGCGAAGGGGCGCCACGAAGGGACGCAGCGCAGCAGCCGCAGCCGGAGCCGGGGAGGGTGGGCTGGGGGGCGCTGCGCGGGCTGCAAGCCATGGCCCAGCCCGGGCACCGCCAGGCGCCGCCGACGCCACCAGCAGCGGCGCCCCCTCCCGTCCAGCGGGAGCCAAGAGCGGACGGCAGCCAGGTGGGCATCCCCCGGGCAGGGCTGGGACGGGGCGCCCGTGGCGCGAGGGGCGCGGGCTCTTCCGCGAGGGGTGCGGCGTCGAAGGGTGTCCTGAGAGTGTAGCCCGACGTCTTCCCTGGAGTTCCTTTGGAGAGGGTCTCCTGAAGTGGGGGAGACCTTTTTTGGGGGGGGTCCAAGCCCTGACTCGGGACCCTTCCGAGGGCGCGGGGGTTGTGGGAACTAGTGGAGGGGGACTCCACTTCTCGTGGGATTCAAGGGTGCCAACTTGAATTTTTTTGGGGGTGGGGTGGGGGGACACCATTTCAGTGCCATTGCCCATCAACTTGGGGGCCCTCAAATGTTTTATTGGAGCCCCCAAAAGGCCCTCAGCCCCCTAGGAGCTGGCTCCTATGCTGGGATCCCCATCTCAGGTCCCCAGGCGCCCCCCACCCAAGCAACCGCCCGGCCGCAGAGGGGCGGGTGGGCGCAGCCCGTCGCGCCGCTGCGGTTTCTCCGGCGGGGTTGGGGGGTCGGGAGCCCAACCCCGGACAGAAAACCCTTCTCCCCTCCCTTTGCCCCCTTTTTAATCCCGAGTCCAGTTCAGGAATCCCACCTGCCTTTGGGAAACTTTTTCTCCCCTTTCCCAGCACCCACAAACGGTGCTTTGATAATTAAAGGCCCCCCCCCCAGTCTAAAATAAAAGTGGGCAGTTTTGTTTCTTGGGAACGCTTCCGCGAGAGAGAGAGAGAGAGCTTGGGCAGGCGTACCCCCCCAATATTCGCGTGCGCGCCTTAGTTTGTGCGAAGTGAGAGTTGCGCTTGTGCACGCACACGCGGGGTGGCCCCCTGTGGGCTCGAACAGCTGATCGGAGAAGGAAGGGGGGGCGGCACGGCGACTGGAGCCTGATTTTTTTCGGATTTTATTTTAGCAGCCTGGAAAGGGATCCAGGCAGAGCGCCTCCTCCTCCGTTGAACTGTGTGCGCCTGTGGTCTTGGGAAAGGGGAGGGGGGGCGCACACTGACTGGTAGAGTTTATTTTTGTCTCCTGCCTGCCTGCCGGAGCTGCCAGTGAGGCCTAAATCCAGGAGCGGGGAGGGTCTGGCTGGCTAGCTAGCTGCTTAGGAGATGCTTGAATTCTGTCGGGAGAGCTGCAGTGCTTCTTCCACTGCTTCCTGACCCAGCAGAGAGGAGAGCAGAGGACCAGGGCTTGGGGCTGGTTTGCACCAGCTCTCTGTAGCCGCAGTGTTAAAGTGTGTGTGTTTTCCTTCTTCCCCTCCACTTCCACTTCCCCCTCTTCTGTCCTCCCTGCCGTGAGTGATGGGATTGCAGTCCCTTGCTCCTCTTTCCCCCCTGGCCCAATCCAGGTAACATTCCTACCTTGGGAGAATCTGCTCATGGGCTATAGAAGCAACAGGGGGAGCTCCCTACTTTCTCCTCCGCCTCCTCCTCCGCACTGTGTGGGAGGGAGGTTCCTTCTAAACCTCTGGAGGATGCAAAACCCGCACCTGCCGCTGTGTGTGGGCTGCATATTTAGTGTCTGCTGTCTCTCCCCGCACCCTCAATTGCCTGACCTGTTATTTTTTTTTGGAGGGGAAGGATTTTTCAAAA